AGTGTGCGATGGAGGAGGAGGAAGTTGATGAGGAGAAAGAGAGAGATATCTGGAGGGGAAGAAGCCATTGCCACTGTTTGCCAAGGAAAATGCTGCAGCGACAAGAGCTTGCTACTGGTGGAGGAACACGTCGCCGCTGCTGTTGCTATTCGCCGATGGTGATGAAGTCAACCGCTGTGCACCAAGGATACGCTGTAGTTGTTGGGGAGAAAGAGACTGCGTCTAGGGCATGGGTGCGTGCTTGCGCCGGGGGGGCCCGGGGTGGTTGGGGGGGGGGGGGTGTGGGTGGTTGGTCGAGACAAAAATATGTTGGATAGCATAATAGTTCAAAAAGGCATCAAATGAATAAGTACGAAATGCCACTTTCAGAGTAGAGTTGCCACCATCATTATGAAGAGAGTGGGAAATTATGTTTTCACTAGTTATCCAAATTAGTGCAATTATCTTAAGTTCAGTTGATATCTCTCGACACATTAGGACTTGCTATTGAAAATTTACTTATAACTCTACTTAGTATGGACATTCATTAGCTTTGTAATTTTGCATTGTAATGTCTGCCAAGTGCACAATTGTCATATGGTTGGTTGGAGATTTGTTGGTTTTTTGTTAAGATTTTGTTCAAGATGCTGATCTTTTAAGCATGAAATGGGAGATATTTTTGACAGAGGGGACAATTTAAATCTTAAGAACCTCCCTTGGCAGGTTCCTTGCAGTGCTTTTTGAGTAGGTTTTGGAGAAAGATCATCAATTTATGAATAATCGTATGCTGTCATCTGTCAAATGCTTAGAGAGGCATTTTTATATAGGTCCTCCGGTTAGCCTCTGGGATTTGTCTTTCTAGTGGCTATTGTAGTTCTCAATCATCATGAATCACAGGCCCTTTAGCAAGTGCTTATTCTGAACTCAATTGCTTCGAAAAATTTACTTGTAAATCTGATTTATTGATGCATTCTATTTTTCTTCTAGGTACAAAAAGAAAATTTATGAACTTGCATCAGAGCACTTAGAGGATGTGGATAACATCAATGAGGTAATGCTACCGACTACGAGCAACTGCTAGTATGCATTTTGTGTCTTTTCTTCCAAAATTTTAAAGTTCACATTTCTGTTCTTTTTCTGAGTCCCTTTCACCACCTGCAAGTACACTTCTTTTTTGAAAAAAACAATGTATATAAATTAAGCTTTTCTCAGTTTACTCGGGTGGTAATGATTTCATATCCTTTCTTGGTGTTGCTTCTATGCAACATGAATAACACACATTGGCAGCACTATTACTTGATGCTTCTATAACCCAAGTTTTTGTTATACTTGCTAAGCTTATCTTTGTTTTCAATTGATTTTTGACCAGTGACAAAAAATTCCCTTCAATCTTATTAACATTTAACAGTTACAAATGAGTATGAGAAACATATGTTTGAATTTATCTTGTCAAAATTTACTTGTCCTTTGGTTTGTACCCAACTATTTTTAAACAACAATTGATTCTTATTTTTTTGGGTTGTGAATTTTGCTTTGTTTCCCAGTTAATATTTGGTGCATTTTTTGTCAGGATATTATTTGGTATTATTTTATTATGTATGTTGTAGTAAATGATTTTAATTTCATATCCGGGTGGTACGTGCCGGTCCGACAGCCTCTCGGCACGTGGACTGCCCGCTACCGGGTGATACCAAATTTTTATCGATAATTTAAAGGTGGCAGAGAGGGAGGCGAGTCGTGAAAGGAATAATTTTTATCGGTTCCTCCCCGAGATTCCCGATCGGAATGGCCTCTTTAATTTGCTTCGTTTTAGCTGATAACATAGTTTGGTTGATTTGGCTTTGGATGTGGGTGGTTTCCTGGGAAGCTGGTTCTTGGAGCTGCACTCATGGCGAAGAGGCGGAAGCTGTAGGTTCAGATCTTTTGTGGGAAAAGAAACTTCTTTTGATTTGAAGTGGTAGCAAGGATAGGGAAGTTTGGGAGTCAAGAAGAGGGAGGAGGAGACGTGATGTACAGGTCTCCTTTGGTGCGGCCGTCGAAAGATCTCAACCTTCCTTACCCGCTCGTCGATTTGTTCAGTGGACAACGAACAACGGAAGCCGAATCCGATCTTTGCCACCACCAGCAGCAGCAGATGAGCACTGGAATCCTCCGGTATCGGTCATCCCCGAGCTCGCTGCTCGGCGAAGTTTGTGAGGACTTCCTCCTCGTTAGAGCCTCCAGCCTCTAGAATGAGACCATGTTTGCCCGGTTCTTAGTGTCAGATCTCTGCGACAAGACCCAGGACGGTCCCTCCATTGGCGCCGCCACCACCAGCGGCCAGAGCAGCCCTCACTTTCCACCCCTGCAACTACCACCACCGCCTTCTGCACAGGAGGTCAAAGAACAACAAAGCAGATCTGCACCTGCGCGAAGGAATCATGCAGCCACAGCGAGTCAAAGCGCTGTGCAGATCCACGATGGATTTCACAAAATGCGATGCCAAACTTTTCCTCTTTTTTTTTTTCCTTCAGCAATGGCGTAGATAATGTGTGAACTATCTCCTGGGAAATCAATCAGATGTATCACCATCATGGGATCATTGACGATGGAGGTGGCACAACTCAAGCACAGAAACTTCGGCAGCTCCTCTAATCTCATCAAGCATGCCTTGGCGTACCGCTCGGTATGCCGGTATGATACGAGATTAAAAACCTTAGTTATAGTTAGGTTACATAGAATGGTTCTAGTGCATGAGTCTACCATCAATATGAGGTCCCAGGAGGATCAATGAGCACAACTTTACATTTCCAAGCAAAGAAGTTGTTTCATGGCTCGATATTAGAAGACTTGGGCAATCTTATACTTTGGCTCTGCCAATGACACAGTGATTTTACCTAACTGCAGAAAATTGAAGTGATGGGATATAATTCAAGAAGTAAAAGAGTCATTTATTCTTAGTTGTTTCGTTTCTTGGGTTTGGAAATGAATTAGGTTGGATCTTACTATTATCAGAATTCATTTTCTGTGATCCAATATCCATAGTCATGGGAACAATCACTTATAAAGATAAAGCAGCAGACATTGACCTTTCATAGATCCTTCATTGGTGTGAGCCACGTGCATCGAGTTTGTTCTTAGAAATCCACAAATTGGACTTGCAGCCTTAAATATTTATTGTGCAAAAAATAGATGGAAAAATTTTATTGGAAGATCCAAGATTATGAACTTTTGCTTGCAGTTATCTAGGTGTGTTTTTGTAATCCTCCTGTTTTCTTGACTACTATTAGATCTATAAAGCAATTTTTGAGATGCAAATGTTTTGTGCTTTATTTTTAAGTTGTGGTCATAATTTAGTTTTCCACTATTGTTATGCTTTTGCTTGTCCTTTTGGCTGTGCTCCTCATTATTTCATCAGATGGTATTGTCAAAAGATTTCTTGCCTCTCCGTGAATCTGTTAAAAATTGTATTTATTTAATTACTGATCCCATGTAACTGTATTTTCATGTAGTTAAATTGGCCTTTGTAATTATGATTGGTGGTACATCAGTCTTTCTCAGCACCCGATGACTTCGGGTATCCATACTTAGGTTCAGGGAGGTAAATATGTACATAAGTTGGGTTTGGGTATTTGGTTTCCAGTCTGATTAGGGTAAAATTTGCTGGTACCATTTTGATAGGCTGTTGAAAACGGTGTTGGGCAGGTATTTAGAACCTTTGATGTAAGTTTTTAACTTGTACTGGAATTTAATCATTTTAATTGAGTGATCATGTCGATTTTAAAATCACAAATGCACTATAAAATAATACATTGATCACTCAGTATACAATATTCATGGGCATGGTTATTTTGATTCATTACCTTGGTGACTGTAACTTGATCTGGAGCCTTGATTTGCTATGATTCTTTGAGGTTGAAATTCTAGTCTCTTAGATTATCTATGTCTGAAATCAAGTAGTACAAGTAAATGCTGCAATTGAGTCTATATGAGTTCATTTATATGTGATCCTCAACTATCAGTATCTAGTGAAAGCATTAAGATCCCTAGCATCCTTTATTCAAGCTTTTTGTTATCTATAGTCATAAAATTAAACACCATGGTATACCAAGGTTATTGATCATACTTTGCCACTACGACTGGGCGAATATATGTTGGTTCAGCTTATAATGCTCTTTTTCTGAAGTAAATTCGTTTCTGCAACTATTTTAGATCTCTACTAACTGTGCCGGTACCATTTCTTATAGTTGTTTGCCAATATTATTGCAGTATAGAATGCCTGAGGCATATGACCACGAAGGTGGTGTAAATCAAGAGAGAAGATTTGCGGCAGCTATGCTGCGATACAGGTAAAACAGTTTACTGCATAGATGTCATCATCATTTTATAGTTGATGGTCATCGTATTCTTGATTCATTTCTGACCTTGTTGTTGTCGTGGTGGTGGACTAATTTTTTTGTATTCTGTTCATCCAAATCTGCAATTTTTTTCTACTTTTTGTCCTTTCTAGGGATGCTGGTGCTGGAGACAAGATGGACCCCTTTGCTGAACAGGAAGAATGGGAAAACTATCAAAGTGGTATGACTAGTTCGTTAGGGTATATCTTCTCTTTGTCCTCTTTTGTTATATTGATGTTAATATGCTTCTGACACAGGGAAGGCAAATTTAAAGTATGGTTCGAAGGACAAAAAGCAAGCTTCAGCTGACTATCAGTATGTTTTAATTTTAATTTTTATTGTTTTTTTTACGATTTGGAAATGCTAATGAGCAATTGGCTTAATATACTGACATTCTGAACCAAGGTTTGTAATTTCGTACCGTATCGAAGTTTCGAGCTCAGTTCGGTATAGCACGGTATAAGTATACCGGACGGTACATTTCGGTATACCGCTCGGTATATATATAAAAAAAACAAAAAAAATAATGATGGCTCTGCTCGTGTGAGGAGGGGAAAGGGCAACGTCGCTCGGTTTCCCTGCGCAAAAAAAAGAAAGGGAAAGGCAACGTCGCCTTGGTTTCCCTGCGCAAAAAAGAAAAGAAAAGGGAAAGGCGACGTCGCTCGGTTTCCCCACGCAAAAAGAAAAAGAGGGAAAGGCGACATTGCCTCGGCGACGTCGCTCGGTTTCCCTGTGCGAAAAAAAAAGAAAGGCGTCGCCTCGGTCGGTTTTTTCTACTGGGGAGAAGAAATCGCTTCTCCCTGCGATGTCGCCGAGGCTTCGTCGCCGCGCCGGATCTCCATGTTTTCGTTTTTCTTCTCCCTCTTCTTTTTTCTCCATCATCGACCAATTTAGGAACGGAAACAGTCGCAATCGATGCTTCCGTCGTGTAGTGGACGGTCCGTGTACCGGTCTGCTGATGGACCGGTATGTACCACCCGTACTGGACGGTATTATTCGAAATTAAAATCCTTGTTCTGAACTGATGTATAATATAAACTGTTATTGTTATTTCTTGTGTTGATTGTTTTGCTTCTGTTTTCTGACTAGGTATGTCTTTGAAGATGGTGTTGACTTCATCAAGGAGTCCATTATGGATGGTGTCAATGTATGCGACTAAAAATCACATTGCTTATATAACTATACGAAGGTGCCACCTTGCTTCTAATTCCAAACATTCCTTTTTTGAGCAGTATAAAGATGAGATGCCTTCTGAGGATCCTGATGATTCAATTGCAAAAACTGCGTTGCATAAACTTAAAGTATGCTTTTTTCTTTGATAGGATTCATTTTGGAGGTGGTGGGTTAAGTTTCTAATAGTGTTTTTTATATCAAATGGTTCTATGAAGTTCTTTGACCATGATTCTTATACTTTGACACAATATTCAATATTTGATTATTTCATCCTTTCTATCAGGAAGAGAGAAAGACTTTGCCAATCTATCCATACCGGGAACAACTGCTTCAGGCAGTTCAAGATCATCAGGTTAGTAATTTTGTTAACATGAATTAATTGTATATTATTTGATTTGCACCATTTCTGGAGGCTGCATGCTGAATTGAGGTGCTTGAGGAAAGTATGAATTGTAGGATAAACTTTTATCTGCTTTATTTTAAGAAAATACATAAATATAATATTGTGGTTGTGCATGAATTTGTATAACTAACTTTGATTTTCTTCTTTATAAGGAAATTATCTACAATCTACATCTTTATTTTCTTGTGCTTTGTTTGCCCAATTATAACATACTTATAATAAATTTGTTTTTTCAATAATTTTTTAAATTATTTTTGTTTTAAAAAAATCAAGGAGAAATAATAATAAGTTAGCATAAGAGTCGTCTCTAAAGAAGCCAAAGTCTCTCCATATAATCTGGGAGCTACATTGAACATGTGAGACAACAAAATCATCGACCAAATTAAGGCTTATTTTTAGTGCTAGTTTGTGAGAGAAGGAAAATTTTCCTAGTTTGCATTCATCTTCTTTTCTTTTGTGCTGCCAATTTATTTACTCCTCTCTCATTTTGATTGGGAACCAAATAGAGCACATGGAATTTACCGCATTGTTTCTTCCCAGCTAATATGTATACATATGCATTATGTTTTTTTTCGAATAGTGGATCATTTTCATTATATACTCTTAATGGCATTTTTTTCTGTTGAATAGGTTCTTGTCATTGTTGGAGAAACAGGTTCTGGTAAAACGACTCAAATACCCCAATATTTACATGAGGCTGGATATACAAAACGGGGACAGGTAGATGTTTCTGTGTGAAGTTACTCATGCTACACGTATGGTCTTTAAGCCAAATTATGTTTGCAGTTTTTTTTCTCTATTGCTTAGTTTGTGTGTGTGTGTGTGAGTGCGTGCGTGCGTGTGTGTGCGTGTGCGTGCATGCGTGCAGTCCTAATATTATTCAAGTATCCATCATTTTTGTTGATTATCTTTGTTAATATGGAATGCAGTTTTTATTCAGAGAGGACAATTTTCTTTTACTGTTTTATAAGTTCTTAACCGATGTCAATATTTAGCTCATAGTGACATGTAAACCAACTTTTAGTAAGAAATTAAAATTTCATGTAAATGCTCATTCTTGTCCAAAATGTTTAATTTAGAGATGCGATCTGACTAATCATTCTGTAATATAAAAGAATTGAATTTTTTCAGCTTCAATCATGGTCTGGCTTTTCTAGTTATCAGGAAACTATACCATATGAGGCTTTTGTAAGTCTAGGGTTTTGGTCATGCTTCCACTCCCACAGCAGCATGCATCCTGGCTTCAAATGCTGCTCTGTTTCTAGGAAGGAAGGCGCTAGAGTGGAGGCTGCTGGAGATGAACATTGAATGCCAATTGTTTTTGGTGCCAAAGATAGATTTTGTGCTCTGGTTGCCTCCTTTATTTTCTCAATGCTTCTGGTTCACCCCCATGTGCTGACTTTTGACTTTTGGCATGGCATTGTACTTTGGCACATGCCATTCTGGCAGCTCGCTGGCACATGATGTGCCACAAAATGAAAAGCCTTGGTTATAACATAGGATTGTTTTAAATGTTTTGTGTTGGTGACATTTTATAACCTTTTTGCCTCGTTTTAGGTTGGTTGCACTCAGCCACGCCGTGTTGCAGCCATGAGTGTGGCTGCAAGGGTTTCCCAGGAGATGGGAGTCAAACTTGGTCATGAGGTCTGTCTTGTCACACATCTCTGCTAGTTAAAACTGTCTTTATTTACTCTCCAGTTGTGATCTGATCAGGTGCTCTTTGATTCTTATTGTTAATTGATCTATTTTACAGGTTGGTTATTCTATTCGTTTTGAAGATTGCACATCAGAGAAAACTATAATGAAATATATGACTGACGGGATGTTGCTTCGGGAATTTCTTAGTGAACCTGACTTAGCTAGTTACAGGTATTTTATGAATGCTCCATCCAAGTTTTTGTTGCTTTTCTTTCATAAATGTAAATGTTTTTTTATCTTTTCATGTCAATTGCAGTGTTATCATGGTGGACGAGGCGCATGAGAGAACATTGTCAACAGACATTTTGTTTGGTTTGGTAAAGGTAAGCTGCCTGTCAGAAATGTAACATGTTTTTGGGTGTTTTATTTTTGGATTGTTTATTAAATATGGTTGCTACTTGTTTTCTCACAGGATATATCTCGCTTCCGGAAAGATCTTAAGTTGCTTATATCAAGTGCAACACTTGATGCTGAGAAGTTCAGTGATTATTTTGACTCGGCCCCAATTTTCAAAATACCTGGGAGGCGATATCCTGTTGAGATTCACTTCACAACAGCACCAGAAGCAGACTATATTGATGCTGCCATTGTCACAGTTCTTCAGATACATGTGACACAACCACCTGGAGATATTCTTGTATTTCTCACAGGCCAGGAGGAAATCGAAACGATTGATGAGATTCTTAAGCATAGGACAAGGGGTTTGGGTACAAAGATAGCAGAACTAATAATATGCCCAATCTATGCGAATCTTCCAACTGAGCTTCAAGCAAAAATATTTGAACCTACTCCAGAAGGTGCTCGTAAGGTTGTGTTGGCTACTAATATAGCAGAAACATCACTCACAATTGATGGGATAAAGTATGTTGTTGATCCAGGCTTTTGTAAGATAAAGTCCTTTAATCCACGAACTGGTATGGAATCATTGTTAGTGAATCCAATCTCAAAAGCATCAGCAATGCAAAGGGCTGGGCGGTCTGGACGTACTGGGCCTGGAAAGTGTTTTCGTCTTTATACTGCATATAATTTTCAGAATGATCTTGATGATAATGCTGTACCAGAAATACAGAGAACCAACCTTGCAAATGTCGTCCTTACACTGAAAAGTCTGGGTATCAATGACTTGGTTAATTTTGATTTTATGGATCCTCCCCCCTCAGAGGCATTACTAAAGGCTCTTGAACAACTTTATGCTCTTAATGCATTAAACAGCCGTGGTGAATTGACCAAGACTGGAAGAAGGATGGCAGAGTTTCCACTAGACCCTATGCTCTCCAAAATGATAGTGGCTTCAGAAAAATACAAGTGCTCCGAGGAGGTTATATCCATCTCCTCAATGTTGTCTGTTGGTAATTCAATTTTCTATCGTCCAAAAGATAAACAAGTGCATGCAGATAATGCGAGGATGAATTTTCACACTGGGAATGTTGGGGATCACATTGCTTTGCTAAATGTATATCGCATAATCCTTTCTAAAATAGCTGACAACAACAATTATTAATTTATGATTCTAGTGATAAAGCGTACTTGATTTTATTATTTCAGGTGTACAATTCGTGGAAGGAAACTAACTACTCTACTCAGTGGTGCTATGAAAATTATATTCAGGTAATAAAATCATCTGTATGTTTTTCTGAGTCATGAGCATTCCCATGTCTTCTTTTTTTTAAGAATCTTCTCTTTGATAACTATGCTAAAATCTCTACTGGTGGACTTGATATACTTGATCTCAAATATTTCATTTATTTTCTAGATATATATATGCTGTGAAAGTATACTGTATCAGGATTCCATTAGTTTGCAATATTGTTATATGAACAAGACTTTGTAAGTTGCATATGACACAAGGCTGAAGTAGAATGGCAATGAATAATCAAGCAACTGTAGTAATATAGACCTGTGTTTTTGTAAACATGCTTTATTCTACTTAAATTAATAGTGGAGTGCCTTGTAGAACCAGTGTACCTGGTAATCCGCAGTTGCTGAAATAGTTTTTACTCAGAAATTATCATCTAAACAGATAACCAGCATGATTGGTGCTCTGCTCGGACCAAGATTGCACCTTGCCTCTCTTGTTGTGATTGCTTAATTTGGTTGAAATGTCATGAACCAGGAATTCCTTGAAGTCTACTTGTTGGTGTAGGTAAAAAAATCACATATTACAATTTTATGTCAACTTCTCTCAAATAATCGATTCTTTTACTAGTATTCACTAATTTGACCAAATTGATTTAGTTACTTACACTATATGTTTGGAACTGTTATTATCTCTAGCAATCTTTTCTTCAGTCACTACAGATGAGTTTCTACTGATATGTACCTCTTCACAGGTTCGCAGCATGAAACGGGCAAGAGATATCAGAGATCAGTTGGAGGGCCTCTTGGAAAGGGTTGAGATAGAGCCAACTTCAAATTTGAGCGACCTGGATGCAGTAAAAAAGGCAATTACATCAGGTTTGGGAATGTGGCATGTTTGTCTTGGTGCCTGTGATATTATCTATTTATTGATATCTTTATGACCTAATCTTTGTTCCTTTCAGGTTTTTTCCATCATTCAGCAAAGCTGCAAAAAACTGGGGCTTACAAAACTGTGAAAAATCCTCAAACAGTGTACATTCATCCGAGTTCTGGTCTAGCTGAGGCAAGTTTCTTGTGTAATTTTTGAGCCCTGCATTTGTTGGCAACTATGCCGGGTAAAAATAGCTAAAATATTTGAATTCATTTATAATTTTGGCGGTTATCACAATTTTTTGTTGTGTAATGAAGAAATTTAGTTCCATTACGAAATTTTAGATTCTTTTGAATATTGGTCATCTGAATTTTTAATTTCTTTTTAATATTAATAATCATGATAGGTAGCTAAAATGTCTAATATGCACCTAAAGACATGTGTCAATTTATTAAAAGAACTCATCTTTTATGGCGGATATTGTCTGATCTTTCTTGTTTCCCTTTTTTATTTTAGGTGCTACCACGGTGGGTCATATACCATGAACTTGTCCTTACCACAAAAGAATACATGAGACAGGTAGCACTTGTTTCCTGTCCCAGTTTGTTGGCATACAAATCCTTTGGCGAAAGCAAATGGTATCAATTTATATATTGTTGTTAATGCAGGTTATAGAATTGAAACCAGAGTGGCTGATTGAAATAGCACCTCATTTTTACCAAATGAAGGATGTTGAGGATGGTAGCAATACATTTTTTGTCTTCTCCTGAGCTTATGTATTTATATGCTGTTTCACTATATATTCCTCGGTAAATTGCTGAATCATGATTCATTGCAGCAGCTGCCACAAAGAAATTGCCTCGAGGGAAAGGAAGGGCTGCGGACTAAATAATCATAGTTGAGTGGCGTATCATTCAACCAAAAGGGAAACTCAAACTTCTTTTTCGGATGGTTTTCCTGCTAGTTTGTTTGGTTCGCCGTCACATATGTTGCAAGAGAACAATAGTTGATGCTTCCATCTTATAGAGGCGATAATTCAGCCTCCGATTTATGGATGTATACTTGTGTGTTGTACATAGTGATACAAAAGTCATACTTCGAACAGTTATCACTACGATAAACTGCTCATCGAGTGATCAGGCTGTTTTAGAGCTCTTGCATCGTTTGCACTGGATTGATCTATAGTTGCAGCCTGTGGAAGTTAAAAAGACCAACGGGATGCAGAGAGGCAGGTGATTACTTGATTGGTCTAGATATGCTTTACGCAGCCTCTTTTAAACAATGTTCATCTGTACAATGATTCGAAAACCCTCATTTATGTGATAGTTTACTTAAATCCACTGATTAGTATTAGTATTTGATTTTGAAGGATGTATGAACCTTGGTTGTAATACTGATTGCAGAAATTTCAGTGTCTCAGTTTATGCGACAATTGAACTCTTTTAACATTGAACTTTTGCTGCTCATTGTATATATATATATATATATATATATATATATATATATATATATATATATTTCAGTATTAGTATTCCATGAACTCATTTTTTGTAAGTCTCGCTTTTCTATAAGCAATACTTTCCATCCAACTATGTATTCGCAGTAGGAAGAGATGTGATGGGATTGACATGACATCTTATCTGCTGTGTGTCTTCATGTTCTTCTCAAACTTCCTTTTTGGTTAGGCTTACTGCTCCTCGTGCATTCCTACCTCTCTCTCTCTCTCAGACACACAACACCTGATCTGTGGCTGGCTTCTGCCGAATGGAGTTATTGATGACTTACTGTGATTTATTGTGATTCAACACAAGCGTTGACATAACTTAAGCTTGTTTTAAGAATTTTTGTTGGTCTAACTTATCGAATGACAGACGCTAACCTTAGATTTTTCCTCTTGATAAATGAATCAATCTTTTTTGCTCGAGCTCCATCGTATACTATCAACCTAAGACAAATTAAAATCCTAATGGAACAGAACGAACTGTGCCGAGCCAAGAACAACTTCAAGCCGCACGATGATTTCTACCACATTATCTCAAACGAAGTTTTACCATAACATTCCTCTAATTTAGAATTCAATTTAATTTCAAACCGCTGTTTTATGTTATGGTTACTTAATTAGAACTGGAAGCTCATTTGCAATTCTCAAAGGACATAATGATTAGATATAGAACATCTTGATGTAGCCTAGTAATATTGTGAGTTAAGCTTGTTATCCTCTTTCTTTACCAGGTGTGGTTGCTTCTAAATGGTTTCAGCAACTTACCATGTTGCTCAATGTAGTAAGTACATTCGGTTTCAGTCATGTTGATTTCAGATACTCTTCAGATGTGTTGTTGACAGTGTAAGAATAAGTCAGCATCATTACAGTTCCACAATTACTGTATCTTGAAGGAGCATATCCTCTCTACTCTTCTACATGCAATTCTTGCCAGATGATTTCAGTAAGCCAAATTAAACTCTCTGTATCCAATACATGAATCCTTTTCTGTCATTGTTCCTGTACAATATAATATCTGGTAGCTCAGCAAAAATGCCTATAAATTAAATGTCAACTTCGAATCTATATGTTGCCTTCTCATTCGTAGACGCTATTATAATGATATTGTAAAAGCCAGAGAACCAAAACAAAAGATAGAGAACATAAGTTAAACACCAACATATAGTGTTACACTGAAACTTCACCTCGGCGCTTTAATCGAGAAAACCCACATGCATCTCATGCAAACTAGTCTTACGTAGAACTTCCACAGACAGATAAAACCCTAACCGAGAAGACAGATTACATGAATGCCTTCTCATGCAAATGCATGCATGCATGGCACCTACGTTGAGGAGATTATTGTACAACTTCATGGATTGGGAGGTCTGCGCAGGAACTTTTGAGTTGCAGACGAAGAAGGCATCGACCCTCAAGTGCTCGGTGCAAGCAGAACCTGGTACAAATCAACAAGAAGATCTCGTGCTTCCCATGAATGGTGATCATGTGAGTATTCTTTCCTCTGGCACTCTTACGACAACAGAAGAAGAAGAAGAAAGCTACGATTCATTACCAGATGATGTTAAGCAGAGTCTGGCATAACCTAAAACCTGCCAAGCATAAATCACAAGCTCCAGCTATGTATGTATATAGTGCATGCTACATGGACCATGGATCACCCTGTCTGCTCCTCAAGTCGTTTTCTGGCTCTTGGAAGTCAGTCCAACAGTCATTTAAGCTCCATGTACAAAGACAATCGTACTTCAAAAGAGTCTGCATGAGAAATTGTATCATCAAAGAGACAAATAATAATGAACAAGGAGGGCAACTACAAGATGAGGAGCATGCAAGTGCATGTCTATTGAAATGTTCTTTAAGAAACCATATTGTCACAAGAAATACAAGAAGCTTATGGAACACATGCATCTCCATATATTTCTATATGCTAAGCCAACAACAGCAATACTACTACTACTACTACTGCATGTTTGATCATGGCTTCGACTGGGCATAGAAAGGACAAGATAATGCAGGTTAATGGAGATGATACTGGTTGTGTGTTAACCTCGTATATTCGATCTTCTAGCAAAAGGCAAACCCAAACATGAGTATTAAGTTTCAGTACCAAGTTCTTTTCCTCATCCTCTTCTCATTCCAGATGGCACAATATCATCTAGCAAACCCTCGTCTGTGGGAGCTGATGAGCTTCTCTCGGCCAGGAATGGTGTGATCGGATCCTCATACCGTGGATCGGACATCACGAGCTGGCCTGGATGCGTGGGAAGGTGCACATGTCGCTGTGGTGAAGACAAGGCAAGCCGATCAGATGTCGACCTTGTGTCGCGAGGGTGTATGCTGCCGCTAGGGAAGGAGATGGTGTGGTGACAGTGTTGGCCTTCGTATGTGGTGATCACGATGCTGGGGTCGTGTGAAGAGCGCTCGACTCTCTTCTTGACGGTGCACTTGCTGTTCGTGCAGCGGTAGTAGCTCCTGCAAGAATGATGAGAGGCAGTCATCAGCCGAGTTCTGATGCTTTCATCCTCGTTTAGACAAGTCCGGAATGCACTGTGGATGCATAATCACATACATTCAACGAGAAATAAGAGTAATCACTTGCGACCAACATAACATTTCATGCATAATCATACGATGATGAATGTTATATGAGCTGGTCATATTAACCACTGTTAGATGCAAAAACGAACATTTGGATGAAAGTTATGGTGATTTAGGACGAAGAATAAAAACATTAAATTGCATAAGAGAATGTTTACATAACCATAAGAGAAAGAAATCGACTAACCTCGGAAATGGACTGTTCTTGACAGCTTTTTGCCCATATTTTCTCCATCGATAGCCATCTTCCAGTTGCTCGATCTCACTTTTGGTCATGAATGCAAACCTGGGTTGGCGAGTTCTCTTTTGTCCACTCTTGGCACCTGTATTCCTGCAGCCAAATCGAGTCCAACACCTTATCTTTGAAATCCAAACTAGTGAGGAAATCTAATATGGTTTCTCGAATGTAAATACCTTATTAGCTTTCACTAGTCATAAAAGTAGAATCATGAAATGATCACTAGGAAGAGCAATTAAATTCTAACAATACATCCAAGAACTGCAAAAGACAATTGTCATAAGTAAGTTTTGTTAGACTGACTGTCTTCTCTTACTGTTCGATCAAGTAAATTTCAGCAGAAGAATCGATGAAACGATATAATTCAAGAATGAAAATAGGCCATTTGTACAATCTGATTATACTTTTAAGAGGAAAAGGTATTTGTCAGACAAAGGAGAGACATTCTACTTTACTGCCTATAAATCTTTGCTTTATGGATAGAGTCAAAATATAGGATACATGGCATATAGTGACTGAACACATCAAGATGTGATCACATCAAATAACAAGAAGTTGTACAAGCTTTAATGGCAATCATGATCAAACAGGGAAGAAGATGAAAGGAAATAGCCATTTGCAAACACAAATCTATGTATGAAATAAGAGAACAGCAAAGAAGACAACTGTTCATTCTAATGGAATACTTTCTCAATAAGCAGCCATGAAATGTAACATATACTCATGAAATAAGAAGCTGTCAACAAGAGTTTATTAACTACATGAAATCCACAAATTGTGCGATTGGTTGGGCTTAAGATCTCAAAAATTCATCTCTTTACTTGCTATGTCAACTAATAGGAACAGAGAAAAAGATCAAAGTTATGTCATGATCGGAGGGATCATTAGAATGTTTCACATATAAGTTAGAGAGAGAAATCAAGATCAAATGCTAAAGCAAAATGACCAAAATAGAGTTTCTTACAAAAACACAACATTATTTGATGTTTTAAATGGAAATTAAACAAAATTGGCATTAACAATTGATTGTCTTTATAATTTTCCATAAATATAATTCAATTATCATACCATCAATAATAATTTTTTTTGTTTTTTTATTACTTGTCGAGTGATGCTGAAATAGATTAATATAATAATAAAAAATATATAAAAAAAAGAAAAGCGCGTAACACGGAATTCCCGCCGCGGGGGGCGGCTGCGCTCGCTCCCCATCGTACCCCCGCACAGTCGCATCTATTTACGCGATTGCCCCTCACCGTCACTCCGCTGCCTCCTTTTCATCGTCTGAAACGGACCCTAAAAACCGAAAAGGGGGGCGAATCTGCTGGCCTTCGATTCCTTCCGTCGCTGAATTCGCCCCCGGAGGGAGGTCTTATCACGACTCTGCCACTCGCCGGAGAGGGAGGGGGGGAAGAGGGAAGAGGGAGACGGCGATACGGCTACGAGACGGAGCGACTCACGCTTTCTCTGCAGCCCTCATGCCGGGGGGCTCCTCGCTCAAGCTCGACGCCACTGCCGCCGCTGCGTTACCGGATCCCGGTTCGGGCTGGAGATTCATCTGTCCTTCCTCCTCCATTGTCGCCGGTAGATTGAACGTCGGCGGGAATCCATCCCCGATCCTTGCGGGCGTGCACCACTCGACGCCCTCCCCGCCGCAGAGGTCGTGGAGGGAAGCGACGGAGACGTCGGCGCGGAATTTCCAGCTGGAGGACGCGTCTGACGTCGGCGAAAGCCAGCCCTCCTCCTCCTCCATCGGTCCCGATCGGGTGGCGGCGAGTCGGCTATGGCGGAGATCGGGGTTCACGTAGCGCTCAGGTAAGGGTTTCGATCTCTCTCCACCTCCTCCTACTACTGCCGAAGTACTACTACTAAACTCCGCTTCTTTATTATTATTATTATCACTATTATTATTATTATTAAGAAGACGCGTTGAGGCTTTTGAGGTGTACTTTCGGACGCTTCTCTTTCGTCGTTACACATTGCTTTTGGGTTGCCCGTATAGAACACACTCGTCTTCGGTACCCTCTTTGACATCAGTCCCAAGTTGTGGGCCCGCTTAGTTTACCAATTCGTTTGAGCGGGTACAAAAAGGGGTTACTCTATTGAACATATCATATATCTTAGAAAATATTACATATTATATTATATTAGAAAAAACCTTCTTTTTTTATTCAGAAAATATCTCTCATTTTCAAAATTTTGAAAGGAGATTATTATTCACAACATTCTCTTTAATATTTATAATATTTTTTAAAAAAATTTTTAAATTTTTTTTAAAATTATATTTTTTTTAATGAATATTTTTTTCTTCTTTATTTTCTTTTCCTACTCAAATAATAGTATCGAAAGAATGACAAACTAGGTCAGAGTATAGACTCGAGGATCATAATTTTTTTTAAATGGGAGAGAGGAGAGAGGTAACAATGCCCGACAGGCATGAGTCAAGGGTAATGATCAATGATAAATGAATTAAGGGGTGACGATCGATAGTGGAGGATGTTAGGAAGTATTAGTGACGAAAGATTATGGATAAGTGTAAGAAAGAAAAAAAAAAAGAAAAAATCAAAAATCAAAAGGGTTATAAATAATAAAATATTATTTTATTAATTGTTAAGATGCTTGGAATATTTAAAGATTCTTGAGGCTCTAAATTATAAGATCAGTTTTCAAATAGTATTTTTTTTAGTTAATACCTGAAATACCCCTCCACCTACCCCGAGGATGAACTAATTTTTCTTTTACACTTCGTTACAATGTTTTTCAATGGTACCATAAAAACACTATAATGTAGTAAAAAAAATTATTATAGTGTTTTCTTATTATTACTGAAAACAATATTAGTGTCTTTGTACCATTTTATAGCGTTTTCCTAATATTATTAAAAAACTATAAATATAATTTTTTTAAAATATATAAAAATATTATATTATAGTATTTTTTATATTACGTTAGGGCATTTTTCTGATATTACATTGTAACACAATATAAAAATATTATAACTCGACCATTTCATCCAAAAAAAGGATATTGCATTGAAAATGCTTTCTCGGGGAAAATCCAAATAGATAGATTTTTTTTCTCAAATATTTACTCTTAGAAAGAATATATAATTAAAATTGGCAACGACTCTAAGTAATTAAATCGAGTAGATTAATTAAGGACACGAGGATGATGCTATATCATATATAAAAAATATTCTAATTTCTATTAGATTATTACCTCCTCCGGAGCTATGAGTGCCCATCCCCTCAACACTTGGGTTGAAGACAGCTTTTCTTCATCTTTTGATGGTGTTGGGTGTAGTTGCACAAACATACAGGAAAACTTATCTTCTCTATCGTTAGTCGAGGATTTGGTGGGAGTTGTGGGGCTTCAGCGTTTAGAGTACGTTCCTCACTAATGGAATTCATCGGATCCCCTTAACAGTGCTCAAAGAGCCACCACCTTCCCTAACCTGTCTCGAGTGACCCTAATTGTTTTGAGTAAAATGACTGGAAGCACAGGTAAATGTTTTACCTGTGCGTCAAAATTCTTTTCATGTATGCATAAAGTGCATATGATATCATTATGTGATGCTTCCACCAAATAGTGCAACAATATAGGGATCGATGGTCAAAGTTACTAAATTTATATGACTCGTGCATGTTAAGTTGAGTCACTCTTTTTTTGGCAGGTCTGCAAAGTTCAAAACAAGCTTCTCTGACCTTACTTACAATCTACCCCATGGGACCAACGAGAAGCTGAACGATGCTTGGCTCGTATACTATGACTCTATGTTGTGATATCGTATCTTTATGACAGCATTAAGATAGTCTGACACTGTATGTTGTTATGAGCAGCATGCTTGTTTGCATCACCTTCACCAATGCTTGAGTGGCCCCTTGCTCTCTGGCCATTGCTTTTAGCGGGGATACTTGCTGCCATCTTGCTCGAAAGCAACCTTAGGAGCAGTTTGGAAACCCTGCATAGCATTTGTCGGGGGCTTGTTGGCCTAACTCAAGTCTGTAGTTAATTCTGATATTGACAAGGCCAGTCATATGGATCAGTTGAAGTCCCAGTTTGGACCGCCAATCTACATTTTTCTCTTTTGCCAAAGGCAAAAGACCTGTTGTCTGCAGGTACGTTCGTCTCTCGCCAACTTTTCTATCATGTTTAAGTGACATCAAGAGAGAAAGATATGGTCCTGAATTTTGATAAGCATTGAACTTTAAAGGCCAAGATTCCTTTCTTTGTTTTGCGAAAAGAAATGTAGATGGCATTCGGTTTGAAGCGCAAATTATCTATCTCATGCTCATTTTATGAACTGTTTATTTATGCAGAGCTGTATGCTATGGGATGCAGTTGATGTTGAGTTTTCTCTAAATCTTATGCTATGCTATCTAGCTAAGTTCGAAAACCTTTGAAGCCAAAACTAAGAATCATGCAAGCTTCCATGTTTTGTGCGACAATATCTGCTGCTGTTCACCTGCTTGGATTGTGAAAGTATGTGCCTCATGAGCAGCAGAAGCAAGCTCCCATGTTTTGTTTTGATTCTCTGCGGTGCTTACTCAGTAGTACAGTAAGGTTGACTGTAGCACATCGGTCGATCGATGTGAGAGACTATGGAGGATAGATTCAGAAAATTATTGAAGTTGTGAAGTAGAAAGTTGGGTTTTCATTTATCGGATTTAGTGCTATTTTCGAAGTAAATTTATTATCATATGAATCTTGGTGTATTATTGTATGGTTCTTGTTACCTATCTTATCTTCTTTTATGATCCTCAGCTTTTCTGTGGCTGGATAGTGAATCGATGCTCCATCATGTTGACGCGATGTAGCATGTTGAAGCATTCAGCCAAACAAAACAGTACAAGAATCTATTTCATCTCACATTGTCATGAGATAATGATATGGGGTTCTATACATGGCCGTCATCACCCTTTCATTGGCTTGGCAATGATTGACTGCTCAATCATACTGACATGACGGAGGATGTTAAAGCATCCAGCCAAGTATATCAGTTCTGTCAACAATTTCTCTTTCACCTCACACTTAGATTTTACTTTGTCATTCCTGAATATATTAAGATCAGGTTTTTATTAATCAAAGATTAGTTTCTATTTTTATAAAATTAATTATATAAAAAAATTGATAGTGGTATGTAAGCCAAGTCAAAATAGCTAATAGCATGTAACTTCAAGTACCTCACCTTACAAAAAATAACTATGAAAATTATTACATCGAAATGAAGATCTTGTTTGGATCATAAAATATATGAGAGGTGGTGATAGAAAGAGATTACGAGGAGTCTTAAGTTAATGTCGTACTTATGACGAGCTAAAAAGATTCCTCGAATGACATAAGAAATACTTATGACGAGCTAAAAAGATTCCTCGAATGACATAAGAAATAAAAATAAGAAGACGCTCTTCCTCATCTACCATCTATCAAGGGTTATAATTTTGAGAAAGTTATGACCACCAACACTTCCAAAGATGCTTAGAAGATTTTTTAAAACTCTTTAAAGGAGTAAAGAAGATGAGAAAAATTCTGACTTAATCACTTAGAATTGAATTTGAAACATTACAAATGAATGAGTTTGGGACTCTTTCAAATTATTTTACAAGAGTTCTTACCATTGTTAATCAATTAAGAAGAAATGATGAGAATATAAAAAATATATGTAGGGTCGAAAAAGTACTTCAATCACTACATAAAAAAATTTAATTTTATTAGAATTTCTATCAAGAATCAAAAGATTTATACCAAATAGTTATTGATGAGCTAATAGATTATTTAAACAAAGCTCACATTAAAAAAAAAAAAAAGCTTCAAGTGATTATAGTTGTGGAAGAGGCAAGGACGTGAAAGAAGCATGGTCGCAATAGAGGATATGTATGAGGAAGAGGAAGAAACAGTAAAAATGATCAAAGTCTAAAATAAGAATAAAACAGAGAAGATACAATAGGCCAAAGGTATAATTGTTTCAAAATTTAATGCTATTATTGTAAAAAAAAAAAAAAAGGATCATTGTGCTTCTGAATGCTATTACAATAAAAACAATCAAAGTTGAGGAAAATAGTTGGAAAGAAGAAAGAACATTCTCTTTTGTTGCTAGCACATAAAGAAGAAGACAAGTGATTTTTGGACATCGAAGCTAGCAATCATATGTGTCGTTACATAAATTTATTTAAGAAATTATATAAAATAGTGAATAAATAAGTCTACTTTGAAGACTCCTCAAAAGTACTTTGAATAAATTTATCTGTCTCAAAAATGAAAGTATCAATTTCTTTCAAATATTTATTATGTGCAAGAATAATATATTTTTTTCATCTTGGATAATTATTAGAAAATGGTTATTATATTCATATGAAAGACAAACAATTTTTTATTATAAGCAACATAAATTGCTTAATTGTTTCAGTGGAGATATCAAATAATAGATTATTTATCTTAACCATTAACCATGATGACATTACTTTAAAGATCTCATCATACTATTAACAAAGAAAATGATAAATAATTTTTCCTATATATAACACTCAGAGTTAAATAAAAGGTCTTCAGCTGCAATCTTATGATATGGTAGTCCAAATAAAAGGTTTCTTTCTGCAGGCCCTTCTGTGATGCCATTTCCATCTGTATCTTTTAACTTTCGCTTCTGGTATTTCAATCATTAATGGTCATTTTCTACCTGCATTTTCTTTTTTCTAGAGTGATAGGTTCCACAATACTGCTACTGTTGATGACACAGTCGTCTTCAGCCAGTAACGAGCACTTGGAGGACTCCCCTCTATCAGGCAATAAGCACTTGGAAGCCTGGACCTTCTGGCTACAACCTTTTTTATTCTGTTTCTGACTCAGAACTTGATCTAAACAACATCAATTCTGCAAAAACGAAGAGCAATCAATTTGGTGAAAATGACACTCAGTCGCGAAAAACAGATACAAGAATGACTTTCCTGATTCAGAGGCCATCGAGAGCCAATCTGCTGAGGAACTGGAAAATAATTATGCTGTCTGCAAGGCTGAGGATGAGGAGACTACACCACACATGATTAGAAAAATGGTTGTCGTAGAATTACCGAAGAAATTAGTGAAGATGCTGCAAAGACTCGAGCAGATTACTAGGACTCCTCAAACTGCAGCAGAGCATGATTTTAGCCAGGGTATGCTTCTCATTAGTTCATCCATTTGCATGTTGAACAATGAACATGCAAATGGAAAAAAGTTGGAGAATTTTAGAATAACAAATCCTTTGGTTGTTTCTGATCAATTTCACTCGTTACTGACAGCATCAGATTGAGAAGGCAAAGGATGATGCTCTCTCTGATTTGAGCAACCTGATGAGTGTATGGCTATTTCTGAGACTGAGAGGTTAGTGGACTTTATATGTTCTTGATGTTTCTGGAATTTGGCATATGTCTTCTGGTCCTTGGATTTTGCCACAGACTAATTGACTAACAAATTAGATCTAAAAAATCACTAATTAAATTGTTTAAGCATAAAAAAGACTAAATTATTCCTAAATATTTAGTTAATAAGGATTTTTTTTTCAAGACTTTTTTATTTTTTTAAATATGAATATGAAAAATAAATACTTTATTTCTGTTTTTTCCTCTCCTCTATTGTCGCCACTCATATTTTCCCATATTTCGGAAACATACGGTTTTTGTAAAAAAAATTTAAGTTATTTTTTTTTATAATTTATTTCTTAAATTGTGATTCAAGATTAAGGAAATAGTTGATTTTGCTACTGTTTAGGTAGATATTACAGAAAAAATATATTAGTTAATTTAATCCAAAAATTATTTTATCTTTTTTACCTATCCCTATCTCTTGTTCATGATGGGAGGGAACAAGGAGAAAATCAATTGGTTGATCCTCTATTTTTTTTCTCGGATTATTTCTATATTTATGAAAATTTCTTAACATTTTTAATTATAATTAAAAATTTTGGATATTTAAATATTCTCATATTTTAATAAACAAAAGGTTAATGAATTTCATGAAATTTTACAATTTCCCATTATTCTCTAATTGATTAAATTATTGTGATGTGTTGATTTAATTGATTAAAATCCGTGAAATATTCGAGCAAGTAATTACCCATATAAAAATATAATATATATATTAATTAGTCTGATCTTGTTTTAATTTTGAATTACCAAAAATAATAATAGTTTGACATCTTTAAATGTCTTAGTTTGATTATAATTGGCGCATATTATAATTAGATGATAATTAGAATATTAATAGTCAACAAACATATATTAATTATGATGACATATATAAGTAAATATTAAACTGCCCTTTTATAACGGTGTATCAAACATGCCAGATGAGCTACCCGCCTCGTTATTGGCGGAAATTACCTGATTGATGTCTGGATCCGATGCCAAGGCGAGTGAGTGAACGGGTAGGTCAATAATATTCGGCAAGGAAAAAAATTCGAAAAAGGGCAATAAGCCGCAACGGTCTAATTTCTGTTATTTAAGACTATATATGTTTCTTCCTTGACCAAATTGGAGTCTTTTCTCATCCCTCCAAGAAAAGTCGTCTTCTGCTCTTGAGAGACTCCGTCCTCCCGCTTTCCTATCCTCTTCGCGTTCTCAGCCCACTTTCTCCGACGCGATCGTCGCCAGCAGAGCGCATACTTCCCTCTTTTGACTTCCACCTGCCTCTACGGTTTCTTACTTTGTCGTTGGCTCTTGGTATCGTACGCCTATTTGATTTCCAAGGTATGGTCCTCTCTTTGATGTTCTTGTGATCGTGTTGTTTTGATATCAGATCTTTGATGTTTCCGTCAAAGAACTTTTTGTTTTTTTAAAGCACTTTAAAGTGTTGGATTGGGGTCTAAGTTTGATTTCTCGTAAGCTTTGATATAGGGGTACACCTATTTGATTTCCAAGGTATGGTCCTCTCTAAGAGATTGAACTCTTTGCTCTTCGATTTGAGTTCCCTCCCAAGCGTGATCGTTTTCTGTTTGATGTATTGTCACAGAGTGGAAGATGTCGGATCCGAGCTACCCCTTTGTTTTTTTGTGACTTCTATTGACCTGCTATATTTACATGTCAATTTGGGAATCAGTTTAGGGTTTCTCGCTGCGGATAATCGTCCGGTACTTGTAGATTGATCCATTTTAGGTTTAATCTTAGTGGTGTAAATTGGCCTCTCGGTGGCTACTATTCAGGTTTTCACATAACCATGTTTTGATCTGTGCGTTGCGTTTTCTTTTATGTGGTTTATGCCATCGATATTTAGTAGAGGTTATTGTGTGAAATAAGGTCTTGGTTTGTCGGCTGGTAACTGAAGCAGAATGGCTGGAGAAAGTGTCTGTTACTAACCTCAACATATGAATTCTTCCGGTGTTAACCATTGATCTGTTTCTTGATTCGTCATTCTATTCCCACTACATATATGTTGATCCTTGAACAATTTTTTATTTTTAGTTTTCTGAATTTCTTCATTCAGGGTATATATTTCTTCATCTATTTAATTAGACAGCTTAGTGCAGTGTCAGTATGTTCTTGTATAGCCAACTCTCTGTAGAATCCATGTCTTGACTGTCAGAAATAATGGTCCCGTTTAATTTTTTGAATGTTATCTTGTTTTCCATGTCTAATCTTTTCCCACTGTGATCTGCTTTGGCTCGAGAAACTATGACTTGTTATTTTGTTTTTCATGGTCGATCCTGTTTGGTCTGATGTTCAGGTTTTTGCCCACTGTTCTCAAGTCAACCTGTTGCAGCATAACTGCTTTCCTGGTTGCTGTTTTCTCTCTGTTTGGTTTATATTAGCTTCTTCAAGATTGTTGCCTTGTGAGGTTAAGCCTTACTTCCACAGTGAGGTTGATCCTATGTGACCAAGGCTGGAACCTTGCCAGATCCTATATTGACGAGTCTCGAGCACTAGGCTAGGCTGCCCTTTTCAGTCTTTTACCTTGTCTTACCTTTAGATGTTAAAGAGTTAAATTGTTGTTTGTGTCACTAGGTCTGTGATGCTCTTTCAATCTGTAACTTTTTTTTTTGTTGCTTATTGTACTTCTATTCATAGTGAACAAAAATTATTAATTATTCCTTATACCTTTATTCTTTTCTTTTATAGTGCTAGGTTCCATTGTTGAGTCTGCAATACTGCTTCTGTTGATAACCCTGTCATCTTCAAACAGAAACTAATTCTACGTCAAGATGAGCACTAGGAGGACTCCCCTGTCGGGCAATAAGCAACATCATGCCAAACCTGGACCTTCTCGCAACAACCCTTTCGAGTCTGTTTCTGACTCAGAACTTGATCTAAACATCAATTCTGCTAAAACTTCGTCGGCGCCTATGGTCAGCAAGGCAAAAATGAAAAGCAATCAGTTTGGTGAAAATGTTAATGAAGAAATTGGGTGGGAATCATCGGCAGCTTGGGGATACTCAGCTGTGAAAAACAGTTACAAAAATGACTTCCGTGATTCAGGGGGCATTGAGAACCAATCTGTTCAGGAACTGGAAAATTATGCTGTGTACAAGGCTGAGGAGACTACAAATGAACTAAATGGTTGTCTTAGAATTGCTGAAGAAATTAGAGAAGGTGCTACAAAGACTCTTGTCACCTTGCATCAACAAGGTGAGCAGATTACTAGGACTCATCAAACTGCTGCAGACATTGAGCACGATCTTAGCAGGGTATGCATCTTATTAGTTTTGCCCCCTTTTCCATTTACATGTTGAACAATGAACATTTCTTTATTTAGACATGGTAGCTTAGTAGATAAAGTGAATTTTAGGATAACAAATTGTTTGGTAATTTATTTTTAATTAACTCATTTCTAGCATAAGGCCTCCCTAACCTATTTTCATCTAGTCTCACTTTTAAGTCTCTATGACACTGAATTCATTACATTAAGGATAAAAAAAGCCATGCCTAATTTAATTCGTATATTGATCTTGTGGCTTTCTGCACTATCTTTAACTTTGTAATGAGTTAAACAAATATCCAGGTGAAGTGTTTTATCTAATGATGCTACACGACTGAACTCATTCATAACACACGGATCTATCATTTTTCAAAGGTTTGCAACTAAGGGTCAGTTACTGCATTGATGCCAGTCTTTGACATTTTTAATTTGTAAACATGTGGTTCGTATGAAGGATGAGAGCAGCTAGCAACAACTAGATAGCTTCCTCTAGTTGCATGAACTGATAAATTATAGGGTTTACATTGGCTTTTTTCCTGTTGGTTATTTTAATTTGTCTTTCTTTCCTCTAGTTGTCAAATTAGTAATAAGTTCATGGACTGATCTTTCCAGATGTTAATCTAAGTTATGGCAACACTTAAATTACCTCATAATTTGTACTTGTTTTAGTTAAGGAAAATCGATGCAGTTGTTTTAGTTCATATGTACCATGGTAATAAGTTTATGTTGTGAGGTCAAACATCAATTTTGTTTTGACAGCATTATAAAACAACGTGCCGCTTTCTCTATAATGTTAAGCACATGTGAATATGAAGATTTATGCACTTTATTTTATCGATTTTATCTTTCTGAGCTTCTATCCCGCCAAGTTACAGAAAAAAAATGCAAAATTTATATGGTGGAGTGTCCTCAATTCCGCTGACTCTTCTGACAAGAAGCAAGGTTTCACATGTGCATATTGTAGCTGTTTCCATTGGGTCCTCATGTAAACATAGGTTTAAATGCTTTGAAGCCAGATGGAGTTCAGAACAATATAATAGAATTTTGTTGGCATGTCTTTGAGCTAAAGCTGGTGCGGATTTTGTTATGGGCTATTCATCGAAGGCTTCAGATGATTCTTCATACTCACAATTCAAGTTAAACTAAATTTGATGGCGTGCTAGATGAATATAGCTTAGCATAAAGCTTTAGTTAATTATGTACCTGATTTATTTATGCGAAGTAAATCTTTATCTTCATTCTTTTTAGCAAGAAGGATTCCATGGTGTTGGGGGTAGTATCTGACATCAATTTCTTGATACTTTTTGTTAACTGTTCCATGTTTTGATCAAGCGAAGCACTTCTTACTAAAGTACTTAAAAGGCTGACTCCATTAAATCAATCATGATGTGCATCAGAATTTCTTTTAGGTACGTCTTATGCTCTAATGGTGGAAGTCCTAGCTGATTAATTTGTCTATGTTCATTCAGGGTGAAAAGCTTTTGGGAAATCTTGGAGGCTTATTTTCTAAGAAATGGAAGCCAAAGAAAACACGAGAAATAAGGGGACCACTTCTAACAAGAGGTAGATTGAAACAAATTGTTGGAATTTCTTTTGTGTGCGATTTGATCTTATTGCCTTCTCATTGCCAAATATGTAGATGACTCTTTTATAAAAAGGGGTAGCCACCTGGAACAGAGACAAAGATTGGGATTATCCGCTCCCCGTCCCCGATCAGAACCTCGACACTCTTCTTCTTCTGAACCTACATCTGCACTCGAGAAAGTTGAGGTACTTGATACCAATTGGATTACAGTATGATTTTTCATTCAATAACAACTTAATTCATCTGTTTTACTGATTACATCAGACTGAGAAGGCAAAGCAAGATGATGCTCTTTCTGATTTGAGCAACTTGCTAGGCGAATTGAAGAATATGGCTATTGACATGGGTTCTGAGATTGAGAGGTTAGTTGACTTTATATGTTCTTGATGTTTCTAAAATATGGCGTCTGTCATGTCCTTGGGTTATCTATACATAAGTTCTATTTGTTGTTTCAGGCCTTCATTTATCGTCTGATCGAACAACATTAAGACAATGCTGACCTCAATACTAGATCATGAAAAAAGTAATACATAATTCAAAATGGTGTCAGGCAATTATAGATGAATCCTGCTGTGGCCATTCTTCTACCAAATGTGAACTTACATGGCTACTAAAAACGTTCTGTTTCGTCATGGAATTCGTCATTCTTGATGGATGCATAGATACCCTTATTTAACCTTTTTACCTTTCTAGTTGCCCCATATGACTTGTAAATGGGCAATATGCATCTGGCTAAAGGTGCATTTTGTTTATAGCAGTCAGATAAAATCTATCTATTTTCTGCTTTTAAAGGATTATACAGTTCGATTAATTTATACTAACCAAAATATCATATAATCTTTAGTTTGGTGTTCCAAGTTCCATAATCTTTGATACTTTCCCTTAATTTGCCTCAAAGAATAGCTTCCTTTTTCCATCTTTTCTGTTTGGAATTGCAGGCAGACTGCGGCTTTGGATCATATGGAGGATGATGTGGAAGAGGTAAATTTCAGAGTCAAAGGTGCAAACCTTCGAGGACGCCGACTGCTTCGAAAGTAATCTCATTTTTATGGCCTGAATTGACACCCTAATTAGGGCAAACTTTGTGCTTTACTGGAACAAAATTGCCATTGGTATGTATACTCGAATGTCTCACTTGTGCCAGCAAGGATCTTATTGTCAACATACAGGTCGGGTCGTTATATTATATGTGGATGTCGAGTCAGCAGAAGGACCTAGTATAGTTGGTGCATCAGAAGTACTATTTGATTTATAAGAGAACAATACGGAAATGTTCCCATGGTAAAGATAGCAGGCAGGCTCCACTGTAGAGGATGGTGAAGTAATAGCAACAAGAGAAGAATCACCAGCAGAAAGAAATCAAGTTCATAAGTTGTGTGACTTCTTAATCTTGTATTATAGGTCAAGTCTTTATCTCCATATGAACTACATCTTACATTGACAGATTTGAAATGTCTTTACGTGTGGGATGGTTATTTAGAGACCATTTAAACTGCCATGTTATTTTTATTTCTAAATTAAAAGGAATTCTATCCCAGACTAGTTGATATCTACTTATCATGGTAGGTTAACCATTCATAATTTTGTGATATATATATATAACCATTCATCATCTGAAAAACTAAGACCTAGGCAATCCTCAAAATGGAGATTGATCACAAACTCATTCATCATCTGATCCAAAATATAAAATTCATTCCAGTTGAGAAGAGGCAAAAATTCATAACCAATGGATACAGTAAAACAGTTAACAGCTCTAATTTATGGTTCTATCTTCAAAAGAAAGACCAGAGTTTTCCAGTGTATCACATACATAATAAATATTTCTTAATCAGGAGGAAACACAAACCGAGTCTCTGTTCTCGTCTTGATTTCATGAAAATAGAATTGCCTGAAGGAACCTGCCAAAGCCCAACTATTTGATGTAAAGCCAATGCAACGTCCAAAGTTTACATTTAGAAAATTCTTGTAGAAATACAGTAAAATTTGAAGTATTTAATCACGCAGCATAATCACACAATCTTGGGAACGCTTAGCTACTTGGACTCACGGCTTGGTCATATATAGTTCTGCAATTGATGCAGTTTAAGTACCAAACCACGCAATTGCAGTATAAATTCCAGATCTGCCAAGTTACCAACAAATCAATCTAAATTACTCTGAGAGGTATACATGAACAAAATTGGCTAACTAAACTTTAAGGTTTATGTACAGGAAATTCTAAAAGATCCTACCACAGCTATTGAGCAAAACATAAGGGATTAGACTCCTCCAAAGAGGATAGAAAATGATCCGTCTCATAACTTTGCTGGGTCTATTCCCACCATTCATCTCATTATAGTGCATGTTATCTTAAACTTGGTAGTCCCAGCTACAAGCATACGCTTGGAAGCAGACTAAAAGACACGTTTGGTATACACAAATTTTGTGTGTCTAGCTGCACACATAGCAAAGCTAATGCATGCCCGATGTCAAAACTCGTGATGCTTAGGTTACACTTTTGAATAAAAATAGTTTTAGTACATGGCTCTACCAACATAGTTAGGTCGTCGTACAATTTATCAAAGATATGAACCATACTACTTTATTTAATCACAAGCCAAGCAGACATGCACAACTGCTCCAAAACAACAAAAAAGGCCATTGTCCGAAGGCAAACTAAAGGCGGCTTAAGTTTTGATGTGGACAAACTAATAAAGGGCTATATCCTCATTTTGATGAGGTTTTCTGGTGTCTTTGTCATAATTTCCTACTGTATTTCAACAAACACCTTTCATTACATTTCACGGCAAGTACAAGAGGCATCCAAGTTGTATCATTGTTTTTGGAAACCTTTTAACAGCAAGTGTTTCTTGTAGTCCTAATTATCATCCCAGCCTTCTGCCTTTTATCTGATTACTACAAATTTAAGCTTCCTTACACAGTGTGAAATTCATTTTGCTAAATATAGCAAATACCAAAGCATGAACAGATGAAGCCATATTCTTTTTTCCGTAAGTGAGAACCACAACCATGGCACGATGAAGTAAAAATAGCAATTTTCAGGCACATTGCAAGAAAAACATAATATGCTTATGTCAGACTGAACCAGAAAGCGGTTCTAAAATCTATATCAAAAGTTCAAAAATGAACTAATAAGTTGCCAATAGCAACTGTCCTATATATTAGCAGTAGTTCAACTTGAATGTTCAAATGTATTTCTCCACAACCTACATGCTATTTGCTACATGTAAAAGAGAGTTTTATTTCAAATTTATACCATCAGAGACCTTCTTCCCTGGCAAAAAAGGATTAAATTTTCTCAAAGACACACGGCTTGTCAAAAACAGAGCACTCTTTTCATGTAGGTTATCATCTGGCACGCGGATCATCCACTAGTTTCACTAATAGAGAAAAAAAAAATAAGGGTAGGCAGGCAAGAACATCTCGTATAAAATCTAAAAGTCACCAGGTCAATAGGATTCGTCAGCCTATCAATGAAGAGAAAAGACCATTAAGGCATTAGGATGGATGGGTGGATACGATTATGACGAAAAGCTAGGGAAGAAGGCCAGTCAACTTCTTCGCCCTTTGGAACCTTTCGAATCCAAATGTCAAATACTTTAAGGCAAGTGGTAAACGTATGCTTAGATGAGTTAGAATTTATCTAATAGTTATGCACGAATCATGAGGAAATCACAAGATTAAGGGTTAATTACATATTATACCCTGTAGTTAGTTACCTTTAACATCTCGGTTCCTACACTTTAAAAGTTACATTGGCATCCCTATAGTTATGAAAGTGAAACATTTAGGTCCATTTACCCTAACTCCCCGTCGGTTTTGCCAATGAAAATACGAAAACAAAGGACAAAAAATATGATTTCAACGTTCTAGTTGGTGGTGGTGGACGGTGTCGGTGGTGGCGGACGACGACGCCATTGGAGGGCAGCGGGTGGTTGTTGTGGATGAGAAGAACAACGGCGAGAGGTGAGAGCCACTCTGCATCGGCGTCGACGCAGTTGCCGAGTGATGAAAGGACCGCTCGACATCTGCATCAGCACAGATGCAGTTGCCGAGCAGGACCGCTTTGCATCTGCATTGGCATCGACATAGATGGTGGTAGCTGCCATGACGTCTATGGCGAAGATGGTGGCAGCCTCGCCACTGACCCGTTGGGTGGATTACTAGACCCGAAGCTGGGGTCGTCAAAGCTACTGCTGCTCCCCTCGCTATCGCGTCAGTTCTGCCATGGGCATGAAAAAGGGGAGATAAGAGACTCGTCGGAGGAGTTCTATTTGCCGCGGTTGTCTTCAATCGGGAAGGGAAGCTATGGAAGGCTGGTAGGCAAGTAGTTGTCGAGCTCCTGGTGGACGTATCCAATGATGGTAGGAACATGTGGGTCCCGAAATTCGATGCTTAGTATGTCGTCATATCCATCGTCGACGCAGTTGCCAAGCGGCCCTCATCTCTCGCAATCACTCTCCTCATCCACAACAGCCACGCGCGGCCCCTAACGATGCCGTTGTCTGCCGCCACCGACACCGTCCGCCACCACTATCATTGTCCGTCACCACCAACTGAAATATTAAAATTATCTTTTTACCCTTTGTTTTTGTGTTTTCGTTTGTAAAACCAACGAAGTTAGGGTAAATTGACATAGATATTTCACTTTCGTAACTATATGACTGCCAATACAACTTTTTAAAGTGTAGGGACTGAGATACTAAATGTAGCTAACTTATAGGGGATAATATATAATTAGCCTCAAGATTCACGTACGTATTAAAATCATCCATTAGGAAAACCTAGGAAATTGGTTAACAAATCAACATCAATAAAGTGTATGAAACGAGAATATACTGCTAATGTGGTGAATCACATCAACTTAGATGAAATGCCTCCTGGGCAATCGGCAAACTCGCAGGTATTACAATGTCAAAAGCAATTCAGTAGGGAAACATAAATGAGAATGGTAATTGATTTAGCCAAAATGATTCTGTAGCAGAAAATACTATTCATGAATCCTATGGCATCCACTTCTATCTAGCAATCATAGCAAACAATGGTGCAGTTATTGATATGGAGGCCACAACTACAAGCACTAAATTCACAAAACCAGCAAACCTAAATCGAGTCTTTCCCCCAAATCCCCAATCGAGCTCACGAAAGCATACTAAATTGAGTCATCCCCCACTGCACCCAGCGTAAATTTCATACCTTTCGACCGAGTGCTTCACGGGCTCTCGGCCTCCATGACGCTTTTTATCCTCGGGGCGTAGAGAGAGTACACCACCGCCTGCCTCTTTGCGACCTCGAGCTGGGACTTCCCGTCGGCGAAAGCCGCAACGATGGAGGAGGGATCGGTGAGACCCCGGTTGTCACGGAACCCATCGATCGCACGCCTCTTCGCGTACTCCCGTATGTTGTAGTCGGAGAACTTCGTCGCCGTGCGGAGGAGCGAGCGGAACAACGAGAGCACCTCCGCTCGCGAAGCAGACGAAGCCATCGCCGTCGAACGATATCCCCCAATCAGGAACTCATGGGTTAGATTGGCGCATGACTCGTTTCCCCGTTTCTCATCCACGTTTCACTGCCCGCACTTCTCCATCACCGATTCCGTTTCACGGGAAACTTCCGGACTCCTCTTTTGTTTCAATAATAATTAAAATAAAAAAGAAAACAAAAGAAATACAATTTAACTCACTGATATATTCTCAGAGAGGAATATTTAATTTTGTAGCCATATTATTAAGGAAAATACGATGTATTCAAATCAGATTTATGACATATGTATATGAATTTTACATAAATTTGACACATCAATAACAAATAAATCGGATAGTTAATGGTCACTCAATTAAAATATTTAAATTGGTATCAAAATCATGAATTCAAATTTTTGTATATACCGCTTTTGTTTTAGTATTTAATTAAAAATATTTGTATCGGGATTTTATTCACGCGTTAAGTCTAAATCGACTTAGATAAAGGAAAAGATATAGATTTATAAATATAGATATTAAATAACTTAAGGAAAAAGCTTACAAACTGACTGTTAATGGTTTGCAGTTAATCTTTTGGAATTTTATGTTGATTAGTTGACATGATGAGTGATGACTTTGTTCTTTCACTACCAACTTTTCTATGGCAATGTTTTGCAAGGAAACCATTTGTAATTTGCTTGATCAATGTGGTGTTGTTGGTAATGTAGAAGAATAGCCCACACCCAGATATTTGTCTTCTTTAACCTTCTCAGGGAGCTCATCTGTTCCTGCCTTCTTGCACTTCACTGCCTTCATCAATTCCAACTTATATTCCCTTGCTAAATCAACCAAGTATGAGGGAATCTTTCAGAAAGCAAAAGACAGAATCAACAACCAATTTGGATGAATGATATTTGATGGTGACTCATGTCAAACTAAAGAGAGAAATAATTTTATTACCTTTTGGGAATGGAGAACAGCTACCAACAGCCTTGGACTTGTACTACTGAATCCAAACATCAGGACCTCATGCAGTTCTTAGCAGTTGCTGGCTTTACTTGTGCATGCTCCAAGATTTCCTACCCCTCTCTTTTCTACTCAAAAAGTACATCACAGATAACATGCATATCAGCTTTTCTGATGAATCATGGAATCCTGGTGGTAGAGGATTTATTACACACTGCATGTAGCTTAACAGATGAAGATATTCTGACTGATGGATGATGCATCCAGCAAGAAGAAGAGGACATAAATAAAGATACAAGCCTTCCTAGAATACAAGCTTCACATGTAAGAAGATGAGTTAGATTAACAAGATAAAATGTCTAGCAAAAGGTAATACATGTGAGTTGCCCTTCTTCAGGGGTGCAAGGCATGTGACAATCTGTTCCCCTTTGATTCCTGCAATTTTACAAGTGAATGGAATATGATGCTGATCAATTTAAACAAACAAATCATTCCACACCAGAGCTATGCCAAATTCACAAAAAATATTAACTTTTGAGCAGTAGAGTTCACAGGGTTACAAATGAATTTAACCGATTTGTGAAATGCAAATGGCATATAAGAACTATGGACAAGAGGAGAATAATTTGAGGAGAAAAACTCTGAACTGCCAACCAACAGAACCAAAGTCACTTAGTGGTAGTATACATGAAACAGAGATAATTATATACACAATCACCAATTTTGTACAAGAATAACTAAATTCAGACCATTTCATAAGGAGGAAGTCTATAACAGTGCCAGAAAGACAACAACAGAAATGGCAAAGACGGTTAATTGTATAAATCATAAAAAAAGGTCTGAAAAAACATCCAGAGAAAACAGAAACAAAAAACAATTAAAACCTATTTACGTCTAAGCATGAATTGAGATGCGGATCTCTCCTTTTCGAGCGGTCCAATCTGGTCTATTCATTTCTTTTCTCTCTTAAGCTCCCACTTCAAAAAAAGATGTGAGATTCAAAACATGGAAGACACCTTGCCCCATGCCATCGCCACGAGCTTGATCTTTTGGTACTGCTCCTCTTCTCGTCCTCCTTCCCCACCGTGTATTGGTATACTTGCACAAATTTGATCCGTACTGACACAGCCAAGGATTGACACAATTCCATTATTCGAAACTGCAATCTTTGAATTCATACCTCTGCTAATAGTTTGAGAAAGCTCATACTAGTAGTCAATGCAATTCTTAATAAGAAGTATTGATAGTGATTATTTGTATTAAAATAAACATGAATTCAATCACGAAGATAAGTTTGTAAACAGATACTAGATGATAATATAACAAGTTGTGGAATCCCAACTATTCAAGGTCAACTATATGTATCTTCCCCTCATCGAAGTCTATGTATGTCAGTATCCTTAAATAAAAAACAACACAAAAAGTAGTGATACCATTACAATGTATAACTAAGCCAGGTGTTCGATGTATATCCAGCAGCCTACTTTGTGTAACCCTTAAATTGCAAAAAGAATTGTGGCTTACCTGAAACTCTTGTTTCAGAGTCCTATTGATTAAATCATCTAATAGCTTATTATATTGCAGGCGATAAGCATCTTAACTTGAAAAAGAAGCCGCAGATCCAAATACCAGATGTCCTAAATAATAGGTTATTCAACCTTCAATAATCTAGCCCTACAACTGTTCATTCATTGTCTCCAGTACACTATATACTTCTTTCATCCCTGGATGAATCTGCTCACCAGCAACAAACTCATGAACATGCCCGCCAAGCTGTATTGAACTGCAACCTGGCATTTTAGGCACTCCTCTCAACTTCATGCAATTCCTCATTCTCCTAGCATCGTCCTGTTTCCCGTATGTGTCGTATATGTTTGACAGAAGAACATAAACTCCACTGTGGTCTTCCAACTCAAGGAGATGTCCAGCAGCAACTTCAGCCCATCGTGCCTCTGTGTGATTCCGACAAGCACTTAGTAGCGCCCTCCAAGCCATTGCCCTCTCTGCAGGACTACTATTACAGGGCATTCCTTCAATTACTTCTTTTGCCTCTTGAAAACGCCCCGATCGGCCAAGAAAGTCTACCACACAAACATAGTGCTCACTTCTGGGCTCGACATGATACAAACTCCTCATGCTCTTGAAGACTTCTAGGCCTTCTTCCACCATTCCTGAATGACTGCAAGCAGACAAGACAGCGACAAACGTGGCATCGTCCGGCTTCAACCCTTCCTTCTTCATGCAAGTGAACAGTTCAAGCGCTCCCTCTCCGTCGCCGTGCATTGCCAGTCCAAGAATCATCACATTCCAACAAACAGTATCCTTGCACGTCATCCCGTCGAATACCTTCTTAGCGGAATTTAGAGAGCCGCATTTCAAATACATATCCACAAGTGCAGTTCCCAACCTTACACTCAGTGCGAAGCCAACTCGGTTCACATAGTGGTGAATCCACGACCCGATGTCCTCTGCCCCAGTCTGCGCACAAGCGCAGAGAGCGCTCACTAACACTCCCTCATCTGGCTCCAAACCTTCTGCTTGCAGCAGTCGAAACATCGACAGGCCTTCTTTGAAACAGTTGTTGTGGACATAAGCAGATATGACGGCGCCCCAAATTCCTCGATCCTTAACCGGTGATTCGTCAAACATCATCCGAGCTGTCTCGACATCACCCAGCTGAGAGTACCCAGAAATCATGACGGTCCACGAGGCGGCATCTCGTTGGAGAATTCCGTCGAACGCTTCTCGCGCCGCGCTCACATCGCCGCAAGCGACGTACATCAGCGCCAACGTGTTACCGACGAAAGTGTCGGAACAAAACCCAAGCTTTACAACGTGGCTGTGGACCTGCGCTCCGGCTCTGAGGTCCCGCAGGCCGGCGCACGACTTGAGGACGTAGGGGAAGGTGTAGTTGTCCGGGAAGAGGCCGTCACGCAGCAAGCCGCAATAGATCTCGAAGGGGTTCGCGTAGTCCTCTCTCAGCAGGAAGGCCTTGATCATGGTGTTGCGGACGCAAAGCGTCGGGCTATGGATGTGCCGGAAGAGGAGATGCGCGTGGCTGAGGCTGCCGTGGGTGGGGTGGGAGCAGATGGCCAAGAGGCGGCTGAGGAAGAAGGCGTCCTGGGCGAGGGCGGTGGTGATGATCTGAGCTTGGGTTTGTTTCAGCTGCCGCATGGACTGGCACTTCTCCAGCAGCTGCAGCAGAAGGCTGCTCCTACTGCAGCGTGACATGGGTCAGCATGCATGCATGCTCGTCTGCACTGATGCAGTGCTCTCTCTTCCCGTCCCTGTCAACAAAGCAGTGGCCTTCCCTCGTTAAGTTTCATGTTGGTTTGAATGGTGGCAAAGATCGACCTTCTTCAGATTCGGAATCTACCATAAGTTTTATATCATTTTGATTTGGATAAATTAGATTTTGATTATTTCTTATGAGAGTGAGACTCATTTGTACATTGCAATTCAGGAAATTGAAGTACTATTACAAAAAATAAAATAGGCATATCAAATAATTAGATTGCTGTAGAAAATAAAATTGGCTAAAAGCTTCTCTTCGTATTTATAGTACCAATCATTTAATTATGAGAACTTTATTCTTTAGGTTACTAATAGGTAAAAAAATATAAATCATAAAATGCCTCCTTTTGTAGTAATATATATTATTAATCATATATTTTTAACTTATTTGATTCTTTAAATTTTATTCTTTAAATTACTAATACGTAAAAAAAATCATAAAATATCTATTTTTATAGTAATATTTATTATTAATTATATGTTTTTGACTGATTTGATCAAGTTAGTGACATGAATGAGAATTTTATTCTTTAGGTTACTAATAGATAAAAAAAAATCATAAAATGTCCCTTTTTTAGTTAAGATTTATTATTAATCATATATTTTTCACTGATTTGATCCAGTTAGTGAGAATTTTATTCTTTAGGTTACTAATATATTAAAAAATTCATAAAATATATATATATTTTTTAATTAATATTTATTATTAGTCATATATTTTTGACTGATTTGATCGAGTTAGTGACATGAATGAGAATTTTATTCTTTAGGTTACTAATAGATAAAAAAAAATCATAAAATGTCCCCATTTCACTTAAGATTTATTATTAATCATATATTTTTCACTGATTTTATCAAGTTAGTGGCATGAACGAGAATTTTATTCTTTAGGTTACTAATAGATTAAAAAATTCATAAAATATCCTCTTTTTAATTAATATTTATTATTAATCATATATTTTTGACTTATTTGATCGAGTTAATGGCATGAATGAGAATTTTATTCTTTAGGTTACTAATATATTAAAAAAAATCATAAAATATCCTCTTTTTAATTAATATTTATTACTAATCATATATTTTTGACTGAGTTAGTGACATGAACCTCAACAATATCATCCAATTTTGATAACTATATATTTCTAATATCACTCCTAATTTGATCAAGAAGAGTAGTTGTTATTATTGAATCATACTAACATGTAGGAATTGTGCATATCCCTTGATGCTAATGGGTTGACAATGAAGTTGATGAAAAGTGCATGTTGTTTTGGTTGAGGAAAAGTGGTAGGCACATGTCATGTCCATGGAATCCTATTAGTCAAATGTGTGTAGTCAATTTTTATTTGCTATAACTACTACCAATCATAAGCTCAAATGTCTAGTGATAGATTGATTGATTGCTTGCATGTTAAGGCTAAATTAAAACCCTAATGTGGCCCATTTATTTGGTCTAATTTGTTTAAATATCACTAGATCCCTTGACAATCCTATTTTCTATGAGTGAACTTCAAATGGATGAATCAAATTGAGGAACCCAATTGAAACCAATCATCAAAGAAACAAGTTTTGGTCCTGAAATTATTACTTCTTGTGTAGCAACATAAATTGCATGCAATAAGAATCCAACAATTACCTTCCATTATAAAGCTCTAACAGTGGATGAACACAAAGTATCAAACATTACACAAGTTATATGATAATGATGTACACAAACAATACATCTGAAACAGTTGATTAGTTCTTGTGATAGCAACTTATATTGACTTCTAGTTTGAAGCTTCAATCACTGGTTGGACTTACAAGAACCAATTATTAGACACATGGCTTGTCCACTTGAGAATTGAGATCATGGTTTATGCTCCCTAATGCTACATGGAATCCAAGAATCAAAGTCAATTGCCTCTTCATTATTTCTATTAGACCACTCTCTAAGCTACCACTCCCTAAGTCTATTGTCCAATTGCACTTTTCTAGGAAAGAGAACCTTCAACATTTGTCCCTAATCCAATCCTTTTCCTCCATCCTCAACCACCTTGTCCCTAGTCAAATCTTGGATCCCTTTAATTACTCCATAAAATTAGACCCCTCACCCTCCCCACTCCTTCCTCTCCATTAAACATTTGTTTCTTCCATCCAATCTCTATATTTTCTTCCCCTTTTTCTTTCCAAAATTTATTTAAATTATTGCACATATATATATACATATACATATATATATTCATTCTTGTGAATTTTATTATAGTATTTCCTTCTCATTAGCATCCATTTTAAAAAATGGTTAATCATTTTTATGTGATTAATATCTTCTAACTAGAAATATTCAAAATTAAAAACCTAATTTTTATAATAATATCAAATATTTTTGAAAATATATTGATAATAATTAGAGTTTCAATTATATTTAAATTATAGTAAGTGATGAGGATTAAATACAAGGATATACACATGTATGAGATATGAGATTTGAGGAGTACCAATGCACATAATTTTATCTTATTAATCAGAAGTTTATTTTTGTGATTTGAATTTTTAAAAATCAATTATTTTTTATTGATTTTAGATATATGTGTGTAAAAAAAGAATACTGATTATATATATATATATATATAGGAAGGGAAAGGAAATACCCAAAAGGAGTAACAAATCTTGCACTTATCAATAGACACAAAATTTTGTACACCTCTTTGTGTGTCCCCCTCCTCTCCCAACACCAAAGATCTCAGAGTGGAATGCTTCCCACCAATAGATGTTGTAATGAGAGATGAGAGATCAAAGCCAAACCCAACATTAATTCTTCCCATTTCTTCCCGATTCCGATAGGAAAGCCAATGCCGCATCCTGAAAAGCTCCCAAAATCCGATCTTGTAGCTGCCGGCAGCGCGATCTCTGCCTCTCGATCTCCAAGTGATGCGCCCTGTTGCCGCCCTGCCGATTTGGTAGCGTGTTCCTTTGCTTAGAGGCACTGGGGGGCCGGATTCTCGTGTTAACGGCGCCGCCACGGCGACAGGGGTGAGGGCCGGCGACGAGCGACAGCTGGCGCGGCGGCGTCGGCTACAACGACGATGCAGATAAGGTTCTCTCCTAGCATGAGAAGCATCACAATATCCAGCAGCAATGGATTCCTTGACTTGATGAAGGTGAAGGTCGCTGCCCGCCACTTCTCCTACCGGACCCTCTTCCACACCATCCTCATCCTCGCCTTCCTGTTGCCCTTTGTCTTTATCCTCACCGCCGTCGTCACCCTCGAGGGCGTCAACAAGTGCTCTTCCTTCGGTAGGTTTCCGAGACCTCTTTTCCTGGAACTTGAATTGGTTGCAGTTTGATATGTGGATTGGTCGTGTCGGTGCCGATGGATCTGACATCGCAAGATTGGATCTTTTGCGTTCGAAATACAAAACATGTCATTCTGGTGGATCGAACTTAAAGTTGTTGCATATGCTGATCTGATTATGGTGATCTGTTGGTTTTCTTGGTTCGATTTGGTTGATTTTGAATTTGGTTGCCTGGTGTTTCATTGACATCTTTTATCCCATCTCTACCCTTTATCGTCGGTCGACGGCTTAGTCCTTCATCTGGGATCCAGGACTCGTGATAGGTCTAGTGTCGGTGATTCCCAATGCTTTAGCTTTTTAAGCTGGCCATTATGTTTATTACAATGTGTGCTTTAGGTTTCTCTGAACTTGGTCTTATTAGATGAATAGCAATAATCCTTTCATTTAATTTTGATGGGACTTACGTATCCTTTACCATCACAGGGACTGGACAAAATAGTTGTTATTAGGTGTTCTTACTCTCTGGGATCTTAGCTAATTGTCTTATACATGTTTTAAAGTTGTGCAGAGGCATACTTTTGTGTGAGGTTTATCTGTCGTTCTTCCCAGCTGTAAAGATGAGATAGTGCCGCCATATCTTTCGTCTTCTCATCCTTTTCTTCTTTTGTTTTTGATATTAGCACTTAGTAGGTTGGTTGTGGTGTCAGTTTAGGATTCTTGTGGTTTCTACTTAGTTCCTGAACTGTAATTGGAATTGCTTTTTATTTTTATGTTAACTGCATGAGAATTCGCTTAAATGTAAAGTCCTAACTTTTTCTTTATATCTTTAATGATTCTATCTTCTCTGGAAGTACGTAGCCCTTTATTTTCAACTGTTACTGCTGTTGAATCTATAAGTGAACTAAGTTATTGATGTTTAAAACATATTAATTTTCATTGGTGGCACAATATTAACGCTGTTATCTCTTTTATTTTTCATCTTAAACACCTACCTGCGTTTCTTAGTTATGAAACCCATCGTGGTGCTGACTGTTGGAGTTATTACTTCCTGCATAGATCTTTCCTTTGCTGCCACTTGATAGCAATATTCCACATGTAAACTCTGCTAACTTGTTAGCAGCAAGTATTCCTTGGATGCTTTTGTCTATTCAGTATCATTCTCCATCTTGTGACGTCTTATCAGTTTTTGTGCTCTATTTTTCATGTGATTTTTTTTCTTTATGTAATTCTGCTGACTTCACAAACTTTCAATCTCTCATCAGCCACCTGCGTTTCATCAAACTGTTGGTTACCATGCTCCAGACGTTTGATGTTCAAATTATGCATAAACAATGTTGAATGTGATCTTAGGCAAATATTCAAGTAATGCGTGTTCAGATTAGTTTCAAGTTCTGACAATGTCTGTAGTGGATTGACTTGGTTCTTTGTTATATGGATCTTTCTGGATATTTGTATGTCTACACCTTTGCAATTGGCTGTTGCCTCCTTACCTCCATTGCTTTAGGTCATGGATTTCTTTTTAACCTTGTACTTGCAACATTACTATATCATTGCAGTTGGATTTCTTTGAATGCTGCCACAAGCATGACCTTATAGTGAATAATGCAAAGCTTTAAGAAAATCATGTCAAGTATCTGACTAGGGCTACCTATTTGCGTTTAGTTTTGTTTAGCTAGAAGTCATAACTTGAATGCAACATCTGCAGCTTTGGCAAATAAGCATCCACTTCATTGCTACTTTTCTTTTTGCTTCAGATTGTTTGGGGAGACGGCTAGGTCCGAGGTTTCTCGGTCGTGGTGGTGATGATTCCGTGGTAATGTTTTCTGTACCTTTTGCTACTCAATTTCAGGATTCATGGATAGGTATCTCTTTCTCTCTTGAAGTTGTCATCTTACTTTGACTCACATGAATGCATTCACAGAAGCTTGTTAAGGACTTGTACAAGATACTTGACCAGGTAAACTCTGAGGAAATTCTGGTTGACCAGAAACTTCCCGAATCTTTCGGTGAGTTTCTTTCCGACATGAAGAATAACAAGTATGATGCCAAGACATTTGCTGTAAGGTTGAAGGCGACGGTATGCCCATTCATTATTTTTCCATGTCCTCATTTGGTACATTTCTTTCCAGAGTAAGACAGGATGTTTGGCAAGTTTCTTCTTGCTTGAGTAAATGCTAATTGAACTGTTGTCCATTTAAATTCATCATATTACTGTAATAAAAAATATATTACTGTAGTCTTTTTGAGCTGAGAGTATCTAGAGAAAAATTCTACTGCTGCTTGTTCTTTGCAGGATTCTCAGAACTACTCTTTGTAATTTTTCTCTTGAATACTGTATTATTTCGTTTTGTTTTCTTCTCTAGGAATTGGAGTGGTTAACTCTTATGCCTTCCTTGTATGCCTTCATAGAATGAGATTCTTTCAATACCTATTCTGCAATTGGCCTTCAAGCATAAACATAGTTACCTTTGGATATTTTATATCACAATATAATCATATATTTGTGTCCATAAATATGATTTTGTTTGAGAAACGAATTTGGCCTTTTTCTTTGTCTTATCAGATTTCAATTGTGTATGAGCTTTTGGTATATTCTGTATGCTGGAGCCACTGAATAAAATATTAACAATGTTTTTGTTATGAGTTGATATTTCATACAAGTTTCTACTTCAAAATGTCCATCATCAATGTATGTTTAGATGATCTTCACATTAATTCTCATCATGAGCTACTTGTGTAAGCATAGATACTGCATCTAACAAGTGTCAACCGACTTGATATAACACTGTATATTATTTCCAATCTAGTGCTTTGATCCAAGACAATGTTGAGAGTTACATGATCATTGTATACGTTCATGATCTTTTAATATACTTGTGTGTTGCTCATTCTAGATGTTATTTTCGAATCCAACATGATTAGAATCTACCAGATCTGCAAGCCTGTCCTATGGGAGTTACATTAATTTTCTATAGGGTCTTAGTACATTTGGTCTCAAATTGAGTAGATTTGCAATCAGGAAGTTCTGTGCATAGCCATGTCAACTGTTTACATGTAGTTGATAATGCTGCTAAGACTGAGTTGGCATGTCTTTACCATAAATGTGAATGTATTTGATATTCTTTACCGGATTTATAATGAATAACGAAGTTCTTGAGATTTATTGTCTAGATAAATTTGGCGAATAAAGATCGAACTTTCTTTTGTTAAGAATAAAAAATAGATTGAGAAATTCTGCTAAAGACTCCTCTTTTCATCTGATCAAATATTATTTCTTTTACAAATAGATTAAACTTTCCTTTTAATTTCACATCAAAGATGGAACTTCTTATGTTCTGATTCTGTAGATACTAATGCTAATCCATTCATATACAGTTATCTAAGAGAATATACTTGGTGGTTTTCTTTCTCTGACTGACTTGATTGTTCCTTGCAGATGGAAAATATGGCTAGAGAGGTAAAAAGATCAAGACTAGCAGAACAACTGCACAAACATTTTGCAGCAACTTCCATTCCAAAAGGCATACATTGTCTCTCATTACGCTTGACTGATGAATATTCATCCAATGCCCAAGCACGTAAACAGTTGCCACCACCAGAGTTGCTACCTTTGCTCTCTGATAACTTTTATCACCATTTTGTTATAGCCACCGATAACATTCTTGCAGCTTCTGTTGTGGTCAACTCAGTTGTAGGATCTTCATTAGAGCCTGAAAGGGTTGTCTTCCATGTCATAACTGACAAGAAGACGTATCCGGGTATGCATTCATGGTTTGCCTTGAATCCTCTTTCCCCTGCTATAATTGAGGTGAAAGGTGTTCACCAATTTGACTGGTTAACAAGAGAAAATGTACCTGTTCTTGAAGCTATTGAAAATCACCATGGTGTTAGAAATCATTATCTTGGAAATCATATCATGGGAGCCAATGTTAGTGACAATCCAAGGATTTTTGCTTCTAAGTTGCAGGCGAGGAGTCCAAAATATATCTCTCTGCTCAACCATCTGCGCATATATCTGCCTGAGGTAAATTAGGGTGTACATGTTTCTGAGATCCTTCTTCTTTAGGACACATTTTCTACAGTTGAAGGAATCCCATAGAGCCAATGTTGTTAAGAAAAGGGAAAAAAAAGAACTAAAAAGTTATTGGGCTCCTCTTTAAGAAAGATAATGTTAACTTTATAGCAAAGATGACATTTCTCTATATATAAAATTGTCAGCAATCTGTAGAAAATGTATAATTACTGTTTGTTGTGTCCATAATTTGTCATGTCTTACATATATAGCTTTGATGTTTCCATATCTTAATGCCCATTTTTATGCTTCATAGATTTGCAACTGTCTGCACTTATGTCATAGTGCATATTTGATTTAGTGCAATTCTTTCTCTTGGTTCACAAACTTTTAGTGATTTTGTGAAAAATGGTGATAAAATGCTGTTTCTAATGTTCTAAACAGCTCTTTCCAAAACTCAACAAGGTGGTATTTCTTGATGATGATGTTGTCATTCAGCGTGACTTATCACCACTGTGGGAGATTGATCTTTCTGGAAAAGTAAACGGTGCTGTAGAAACTTGCAAAGGTGAAGATACATGGGTGATGGGTAAGCTCTTCAGGACATATTTCAACTTCTCTCATCCCCTCATAGCCAATAAATTGGATCCTAATGAGTGTGCATGGGCATATGGGATGAATATTTTTGACTTAAATGCCTGGAGGAAGACGAGTATTAAGGAGACATACCATTACTGGGTGAAGGAGGTAAAGTTTGTACTTAATTGCTCTCATTGTTCATCTTATGCTGCTCTAGCTTTTCCTTTTACAAAGAAAAATAAAGAATCTCTCCCTTTTTATTTTTCAATGTACTCTTACACCAAGTTGCTGATAAAATAAGTTTATAAAGTTAGTGTAACTATAAAGTCAGAATTGTTCTTGCCCTCCTTCAGTCGAATGTCAACTAAATTTGGTTTCCTTGGCACACAGGATATGCCAGAGAGCAATTCATGATCAGTGCAGATAAACTGATCCTATGAACATGCTGATATAAACTTATATAGAGTTATTGATAGTCATACGGCCTGCGATGCTTTATGAGGTGAGATGTAGGGCAATAAGGAAATAACACTGTAAAAGAGTTAATTGTTGAAATGCAGAGATCGAAATGGATGCGTGGGTTTATTTGAAGGGAAAGGATAAGAAATTTTTCACATGAACAACTAGGTTTTGTCTAGATTGAAGATAAGATGAACAAAACATTTAAAATGTTATAGACGTGACCAAGAGATACTTATAGATGCACTGGTTGGACAAGATGAGTCTATAGACATGACCAAAAGAGACTTGTAGGTTGAACTAATTTTCTTCTACATCTTCGTTGTCTTAGACTCTGTAGTTATCTTAGACCTTGCACATGTTTCCTTTTTGAAGTAGCCATCAGGCTACTAAAGTACATAACTTGATGAAATTTGCAATATTCCTGTAATTCAATGGCTTTTCTACTATCTAACCTATGCTTGTTTATTAAGGAGACATTTATTGACTAAAGTAAATATGAAAATCTTTAGAGGTATTGGAGCATAAGATGGGCGAAAGACCAAGAGGAAAGGTGTGAGCCCAGTTACAAGCAATGAATTTCAATCTGCCATAATTGGTGAGCCATTTGGCAGGTGCCTTGGCCTTTCTAAAAGGTGTTTAACAATATGCTGCTTCAAAAAGATAGAAAATACAAGCATTCAATAAAATATATCAATCTTCCTTGATGGAGGTTGCTTGCTGTTCAAAATTTTTATAAATTGATCAAGTTGCTTCCAGGAGAAATATTCTTGATCCCCTTTTTTGGGCCTAATCAATAAATCTCATCACACAACACTCAGTAGCGAGGACTCGAAACCCGTAGTCCCTCCAGCATCATTATCTGTGTATAGTCGAGCCATTAGAATTTGATTTAAACCAGATCGAGAGAGGAGGCTCCCACTGGAACTGTAGTGGTAACCTGTTGATGACTATCTTGAGGATAGTAATCTTTTGCATGCAATTCAAAACAGCCTGGAATTTGATTGTCTGAATTGACCAATAATAATGCAAAAGATACATGTTCCACATTGTCTCATTATGGGTTCTTTATTCAATTCTTCCACTACATATCCAGCATCTTTTGATCTACTTCGAGTACTTTCATAACATAGTGTATTGATCATTTCCTTTTTCACTTGAACTAATCCTGTATTTTCTCTAGATGAATCTCAAAAATAGTAATAATAGAAGGAAACTGAGGGAAGGACCATGGTTATGAAAATAATCTTAATATTTTTCATTAGAATTGTATTCTGCAATCTTCCAACAACTGATAGTTTGTTGCTTTCATATTAGCAAGTTTCCATTCTGCTGTGGTCCACCACATTTTCAGCTTATCACATTACATTTCTCTGCATACTGAAGCATCTTTAGCTTGATGCAGACTTTTCTGGAAACACAATTTAAGATTAATGATCCTGTTCTGACCTTATTACTGTTCATTTTCATTTTATCTTCAACAAATATCATTGTTAACTTTCTTTATCTATCAATAACCAAAAATGATTTTCTGCTTAGATATACGAGCCTTAATGTTCCAATTCAAAAATTATCGACAGTCTATCATAATAAATTGGCATGTGGGTTTTTTGGGAAGATTCTGCAGATGCCCATAAGCGGAACATTCTTTCGTATGAGGTGTTCTATGATTGCCTATGAACTCTAGGCTCGTTACCATCGCCTCTAGTGTATTTCTTATCTCCTCCTGATGTAAGAAAGTAACATAATAATCAAATGCTTAAAATGGTTATTTTCATAAATAAAAGATTTCTAGAGGCTTTCAAGACATACAAGTTGCTGTTCTGTCTGACATCTCTACTAATTTACATATCCTATTGCCTTTTGTCTTGATTTCAGAATTTAAAGTCAAACCTGACACTGTGGAAGCTTGGAACATTGCCACCAGCACTGATAGCATTCAGAGGTTATGTGCATCCTATAGATCCATCATGGCATATGCTAGGTTTGGGCTATCAGGAAAAGACCGATCTCGATAGCGTGAGGAAGGCTGCTGTGATCCACTACAATGGCCAGTGCAAACCATGGCTGGAAATCGGATATAAGCACCTCCAGCCATTTTGGACAAGGCATGTAAAATATTCCAACGAGTTCATAAGGAGCTGTCATATCTTGGAGCCTCAATAACAAGAAGAAAACTGGACAGCATTGATATCGAGTGACATAATATTAGAGATGCAATGATGGCTCATGATTCACTCAAGATCTGAGATTTGAGCGACGGAATTCAGTTACCGTAGCAGTGCAGTAAAATTGGGAATGGACGTGTTCCTGGAATACACATCTGTTTGAGTGGCTGCGCTTCTGGCAACACCGATGATTCTATTCAATCTGTAAGATTGTAACCAGTATTTATCATATCAAAGATAGTTCTTCAAAGTGTTCTGGAGGGTGTATTGCCGTCTTCTGGAACAAATCATTCTCTCCAAATATTGCTAGTGCTGGAGCATTGGATCGCATGATCGGTACATGCTGAAGCCAGGATTGGATTGTCTTGTGAGGCATGCAGAATTTTCTTTTTCTTTTATATTTTTGAGGCTATTTATTTATTTTACTTAATCTTTGCTGTGGTTCTTTATTTGTCCTCTAAATTTAGAGGCCTTGGATAATTAAAATTTCAGTAACCCCTTGGAGTATCGGGGGAAAGTTTAGTATTTCTTGAATCATAAGATATTGAAATTAATGTGCAGTTAATTCTTTTGCTCGGATTGATGTTGAAATTAATTGTGCCTCACACCATGTGATCAGTTGTTCCTTCTCTTAGAGTTCTCTCTGCATCCATTATGTCTGATAGCTTCGGATTCTGTAGGTGATTTAGAATGTGTGCACTATGAGATGGGGAAGAAGTTCTAAATAGGCATCCCCACTTGTCCACTAATGGCATCAACCACACTTTATTAGCCTTCATTTGAGCTGATTATGGTGCATAAAAATATAAATTAACTTAAATTCTCCTCTTACTTTTAACATCATAATAGGTTTTCAAAAATTAGAATTTTCAGCTAATAGTTAACTTAAAGTACAAATAGTGATTAACTACAATGAAATATATATATATATATATATAAACTTTGTAAAGAAATTAGAGAAAAAATTTTCTTATATTATTAAGTGAAATGAAGAGATAGATGATAAATATAGAACCCACAAAAAAATAGAGTAATAATTGCTTCCTGGGAAAGAAACTACTATGTTAATATATATATTAAAAAAATAAAAAAAATTCATTATATTAAGGCATTCAAACAGAAAAGAGAGTAATGATTACTTCTTTCTAAAGATATGACTTTGCTAATATATATATATATATATATATATATATATATAGAAAATTTTCATTACATTACATTACATAGCATATGAGACATTCAAACATGGACTTTATTTTTACTCCCTATTACAGTCGACTTTTTTACTATCTTTATTCAATTGATGACTCTTATTATGTCCATCGATTCCCAAACAAATGCTACCAAATAGGTATATGGGTTATTACCACTTGGCCGGGGAATTAAAGCCTTCGGACGGCCGTAAATTGATCATGTCACGATCTCAGTAATGGAGGGACGTGATCGCCTCATGCAGTCGTCGCAAAAAGAGGGAAACGTCGCCGAGCAATAACACTATTGGCCCCAACAGTTCGGCTTGCGCTGTCTCATATATGAAATGCCATAATTACCCTCCACAACGAAACATTTTTCATTTAATAATTTAGCTTTTGATTTTTCTTACATTTAAACTCATCTCATTTAAACATTTCCTTTAAATCTGTTCGTCTCATTTTAGTCCATTGTGATATTTTTTTCATGAATAAAAAATTCATCTAAAAAGCTCATCCTCTTATAAAAAAATTCCTTCAAATCTATCATTCTATCATGTCATGTCATGTCAACCAATTTATGTATCAATACTTGTCATATATGATTAAAATAGGTCAAACATTAGATGCTAGGATGGCATTAGCTGACCAAGAACAATATTTTCGATTTAATTCTAAGTGTTATATTAATGATCATAGGATTTAAAGAAGAAAAATAATTGCCTCGTTATTTAATCCCGGATTAGCAATTCCAGTTTGTGCATGAGGGCATTCATGGAAATAAACGTGACATCGGGGTCACCTCAACACAACCCTACACCCGGGGAAGACGACGACGCGCTCGTCAGGGAAACCAGAGCACGAGCGCCAAAGCCACGGCACCAGAGACGGCGGCTATCCACGCGGAAAAACGCCGGGGGGCGCTTGGGACGGCGGCGGAATCATCCTGAGGCCGGGGGGAGGGCGCCAGCGGCGGGATGGTCTCCGCAAGGATGCTCACCTTCATGCCGCCGTAGCAGTAGCCGCGGCTGCAGATGAAGTAGTAACGCCCGGTGCGGTTGAGCTGGTAAGCGAAGGAGTCGCCCCGGCTCCAGTTAACGATGGGGTCGTCCGCCGCGCACGCCTCGTACGCCGTCGCGTTCACCTCCATCACGTCGTACATCCCCTTCTCGTAGTAGAACACTGCGCCCATCCCAAAGAACAAGAGAAGATCACTACGAGAAGCGTACTTTTGTGAAGCAAGAGGAAGGGGAAGACGTGGGACGGGAGGCACCGAGCCAATCGCCGACATGGAAGCTGTGGCTGTCGGACCAGGCGGTGTAGTTGACGTTGGGCGCCCAGCGCTGCTTGTCCCCGACGACGAACTTCTCGGCAGAGACGGCGACGGGAGCGGCTTCGAAGATGACTACGAGGATGAGGAGGAGGAGGGTTGGCTTCGATTTCTCCATGAAGAGGAGGAGGAAGAAGAAGAAGAGAAGAGAACAAGGCGATCAGATTCCACGCGATTACTGCCTATTATGGTGCATCCGTGTGTAGCGCAGCGTGACGGGGAAATGAATGCAGACGTCACTTGACGCATATATTTATGAACTGGCCTTCCCAATTTTGCAATGAAGCCAGAGAGCAATCGATGGGCCGGCCCATTGTGTAGTCGGACTCGGCCCAGAATTGTGTCTGTAATGCTGTAATAATCTGCAATAATATAAAATTATTATTATATTCTAATATTGAATTGTATTATTTTTCTTATATTTTCCTAATTGCGCCTTATCACAAACCATGTAATGTCCATTAGTGAGAGTCAGAAACTTGCAATGTAATCGAGCTCGCGTTTCGATTCAGCCCCATTCGTTCGAGTTGAGGTCAAATAGGACTTAATTGATACTGTACACTGAAAGAGCCAAAGGAAGAAAAAGGGGTAGATTGGAGCTCACGACAAAGTAAAGGTGGCCAACGAAGATGATGGGGCCTCGTAGCAGGGCGAAGGTTGTGACGGTGAGGTTGAAAGCTATGGAGCCTCGTGGAGGGATGACAACGATGAGGGCGATAATTAGGGTATTAAAGAAAATAAAATGCATCAAATTGAAAACCATAGAAAGTGTGACTTCGTTTTATTTCATCACCAACTTGGAGAATGTGCTACTCACTGATACATGTGCCTGAGATGGTAGAAACAAGTGTTCCTGCTTTGCCGCAACCAGGCTGGAATGCATGCATCTACAGCTCGATTACATGCATGCGATGTGATCTTTATGTTAGATTGGGTGGGACGACAGCCTCGCCTTTAGATTTCTCTACGTTTCATCCAGGGGGCAAACAGATAAGACCGCTAATTTACTTCGATTGCTTTGTTTGCTGCTTCGTTGGAGATATCGGATGCATCACAGTAAAGACAATGAAGGTTTTGACGAGTTTGCATATTGTGAATCAAATGACGTGAGACGAGCTCATCGCCGACGCATAGTTACAGGCCTTCTCGGTCCACCATAAATTGAGGGTAAAGTAAGCAAGGGTGGAACAATGGAGATGTTCTGTAGATCCATGGCTTAGAGGTGGAAGGGGAAGAGGGCGGCGGCCAGGAGGGAGGCGGTGAGCGCGAGGAGGCGGCAGGGGGCGGCGGCGGAGGAGTCCTTGAGGGAGGACGGGGGAGGGGAAGGAGGGGGGAGGTGCTCGACGGCGATCGCGAGGCGCATCCCGCCGTAGCAGTAGCCGCGGCTGCAGATGAAGTAGTAGCGGCCGGTGTGGTTGAGCTCGAAGGCGTAGCTGCGGCCCTTGCTGTAGTTGGAGATGGGGTTGGAGGCGTCGCACTTGTTGTAGCCGGCCTCGTCCACCTGCACCACGTCCGCCATCCCCGACTGGTAGTAGAACACTGCACCACATCCACAGCTCCCATCAATTACCAACAAAAGAGAGGAGGAGAACCAATAGAGCTCACGATGGGAGAGGGGAAGGACCAAAGGGAGAGAGAGAGAGAGAGAGAGAGAGAGAGAGAGAGAGCAACAGACCGAGCCAGTCGCCGACATGGAAGGGCTTCTGCTTCTCCACCCAGACAGTGTAATTGACGTTGGGGTTCCATCCCTTGGAGTCCCCCACCGAGAACCGATCGGCCGACACCAACTGATGAGACACCATGATCAAGAGGAGAAAGAAGGGCAACGCTGCTACTGCTCCTCCTCTAAGCTTCTCCTGCGGCTGCATGCCGGCCATTCTCTCTCTCTCTCTCTCTCTCTCTCTCTCTCTCTCTC